ATACGAAATACGTTGAAGATATTCTATTTAAGCGTAATCTCGCGTGCCAATTAATAACTAGTTACAGACAAAAACAGACAATGTTCTTTTTTATTTTATGTTTTTAATTAATATCTTTATACATTTACTTAGATATATCGTCAAATATGTATTACGAACCTTTCTATAGCAATTTCCAAACAGTTTTTTCCCCAACTTATCTCAACCATCTTAATGTGCTCTGACAGAAGCACGCAGAGGATTTAATTCTTAATGTGGGAGGAAGCTGGAGTATCCGGAGAAAACCCTCGTGATCGGGCATGTGGCCGGGATCGAATCCGGCCATATTGGTGAAGAAGAGCGCGCTATCCACTGCGCCACCCGACCCACCATATAGTTACGCACAAATATCTACTTTAGCTTTGACTGAAAGAAAATGGCGTCATTGATGCAAAACATTATGTCGTGAATACATTTTTACTAATAATCAATGGTACAAAAAAATCTGCATACGGGAGACCGGGGCAGGATCGGCCATTTTGATTCTTTAGCTTACATTAACAACTTTAAAGATATTAACAGTTTAGTTGGCTGGGCATTCACATGAACAAGTGGCTAGAAAAACACTAATGTAAACTTAATATACAGGGGGAAGTTTCTTTTGAAAGAGTGGAAAGAAAATCATACCTGTAAACGGAATGGCTACTTTTTTACGGTCAAACGTGAAACACACTGACAGCTTCAAATGATAATAATAATAATAGCATACAAAATTTGATATAGCGCCCTATCTAGCTAACATAAGCCACTCTAAAGCGCTGTACAGTACATAGATATAAAATTAATACAATTATACATTAATCAATACAATTTTTAGGAATTCGCAGAGGCTGCCTTATCAGGAACTAACTACTCGTCCTATGTCACCTGGCTAATATCTCCTATGTGTGTATGCCTGCGTGTGTGCTGGAGATGGTATTCATAAAAACCAAGCCAAGCACTTACTTTCATATTGCTGTACTATAATAATTTATTGAAATATCAATTTGGGCATGTCATATTTTTTTATTATACCATTCAATTTAAGTCAATGGCAGCTTATATTTAACATATTGAAAAGGAGTACTATTAAGATGGATTGTAGAGTCACTCGGATACACTTTATAGAACAGATTTGCGAAATGATAAAGAGGCAAGTACACCAACATTACCTGTCTCCGGCATACATACACGCATGCACGCTTATACAACACACATGGAGGTAAGTCCTTAAATGACCTCAGTTGTTAATAGGACGTTAAACAAAATAAAATCAAACCATAACAACCATTTCAAGGTCTCTGTAATTTCTGTATATAATGACGTCGATACAGTATATCAATCAATACTATAAAATCAATGCAATACTAATATTTAAGGATTAACTGTACACTCCGGTTTTTGTGTTATAGCTCCATAACATAAAAAATATATTCAAGTCAATCCTTATGATTAAATCTACTAAACACTTTTCTCTTAGAAATTATTACGCCGCTGTATCAGCCAATCAAAAGCGACGTTACAAACGTCGACGTCACTTTTTTTGACGTCATGGGCTTATAACATAAATGTTTAAGCCAATGAAAAGCAAGATTAACTTATTAAAAAATAACGTATCGTAAAATGAATTGGATTAGTGTTTAAGTAAGTTTTTAACATATCAGTATATATATATAATTATATAAGAATGGTTATCTTGTTGTTACGACATTCGAAGAAATAAGACATATAGAGACATGTTAAAAATTCTGTTTATTTAGCAGTTATCGAAATTGATTTCAGATAAGATCAAGAAAATAACACATTTGGTGTTGAAATGAATATCAATTTTATTTCATGAATACATAATCGATACCTTATTTCCTTTAAGGGAAAACAAATTAGAATTTACAAGCTGTCCGACACATGTCTTAAATTCAGGAACCATGTTAATTGAAATGGTGTATCCGCATGTTAAAGTATCATTATCGTAAATACAGTAGGTTAAATCTGCAAACCTGCTGTAAGTACACAAGCCTAAGCTGTAACGATATGTACAATATATACTGAATAATATAAATATATCTTACAGGCTTGATTTGGCCCCGGGCATCATAAAATAATCATTGTTAAATTGTAAACATGCTTTATTTCGCTAACTTTTGACAGATATCTACAAGAAATAATTATATCATGAGCATTTAACACTATAATTCTCTCTCAATGGTTAATGTATGAAGTGTGGATCTTCAAAAACATATTCCTACCTGTTTAACCTTTTTTAACTAAGAGTATCTAGAACATATTGACCCTCGGGCTTCAGCATTTTAGGCGAAATGACATTCAGCAGAGACAACTAAGCCTAATGTTGTTAATGATAAAAGAATTGTATTCCTCCTCAATTATAACACATCTCTTTGTTATTATCAGTGTGATATCTAAGAAGAATAAACTGTAAAAAGAAATAAATGGCTATCCATATTACTTTTAAAACTAGTTTATCTAGAATATATGCACCCCAGACCCCCGAAACATGTGTATCTAATACTTCTGATTAGGCAAATTAATTATGTTTTCAAAACGTACGTAATAGTTTAATTTAACTTTTTATATCAAGTTTTAAATTAGCAAAAAACGGTAAAAAAAATGTATTTTGTCATCGAAAAATAAGAGGTAGGGGTAATCCAAATTGATTTTCTGAATTAAAAGAATAAGTTAAAGAAAATTTACCATCAAAATTGAGAAGAAAATACCTTTTTTGTCAATTCTGCAAACATTCATACATATCTGATAACACGTTTGGAAAATATTGTATGCATTTGTCTGCAAATGGTCAAAACGGCAAAATTCACTTTAAATCACATATTATGTCTCATTGGTATCATTGCCCGATCATAGCACAAAATCGACCATACGGGCATATAATTCGTTTTGCATTTTCTTCTATGCCATTAACTCCCTTTTTCAAAAATGCATATGAGAAAAAAGTTTAATACAGGACATGTTTGACTTCTCAGAGGTGTAGTGTACATCCTTAAGATGTCGTTGAAGAAATATGATTTATACAGATTTTCAGTGCTTATTTATGGCAAGTTATACAAATTTGGATAAAAAAATATATTCATGCGTTATAATTTACTTACACCTTGTACATTCATAAACAAGAGGCCCAGAGGGCCTGTATCGCTCACCTGGATATATAAGCAACCATGGCAAAATATTCTCCAAATGAGATCCAGGGAAATATGCTAGACCCCAATTCCAATTCTTGTAGTATGTCTGTATTATATTTTTTCATGCCCAGCAATTTAATGTATGGTTATCGGGTAGGGATCTCAACCATTTCCAAGTAAGAAACTGTTCCCAAGCTGTCACTCAGAAACTAGATCCTAGGGTTGTGGCCAGACCCCAGGTCAATTATAATATCATGACTGCATTCGTCTCTTTTTATCAAGCATTTGTATTTTTAGTTTTGGGGTGGTGATCTCAACCGTTTCAAATTTATGAACGAGGGGTTAAGTCTGCAAGGGTGGGGCAGACCCTGGGTTCAATTCTAATACCATGACAACTTTTGTCTCTTTATGCCAATCATTTGTATATATAGTTCTGGGGTGGGGATCTCAACCGTTCCAAAGTTATGACCCAGGGACTATGTCTCCAAGGGTGGTGCCAGACCCTAGGCCATCCTGGAAGCAAATGTGCATGCTTCTCTTTATTCTCAACAATTGTATATATGGTTATAGGGTAGGGATCTCAACAATTTACAAGTAATAAACTTTTTTTGTCCCCACTCCTTAGTACGGGGGGTCAGCCCCACCATTTGTACAATTTTAAATCCCTGCCTCCCATGAATGCTTCTGACCAAGTATGATCGATTTCCATGGCATAATTCTACAGAAGAGGTCGTTTATAGCTATATAGCCAAATTGCCCCCTTTTGGCCCGCCCCTCAGCCCCTCCATTTGTACAATTTTGAATCCCCACCATCTAGGGGTGCTTCCAGTCAAATATGGTTTATATCCAGTGCAATAATCATTTGTAGCAATAAAGCCATATTGGACACTGTTGGCCCCGCCCCTCAGCACTACCGAGGGATGCTTCCAGTCAAATGTGGTTGATATCCATCTCTTAGTTCCAGAGAAGAAGTCGCTTAAATCAATATAGCCCAATTGCCCCCTTTTGGCATGGCCCCTCAGGTCCCTGAGGGGCCATGCCAAAGACCCACGGGTTATACAAAATTGGTTCCCCTTTACCCAAGGATGCTTCAGACCAAATATGGAATAAATCCTTTCATTCCTACAGAAGAAGAAGGATTTTAAATAATTTGTTATATTTCCCCTATTGGGCCCCGCCCCTCAGGCCCCACAGGGGCCAGACCCCCAGTTTATACAAAATTGGTTCCCCTTTTTCCGAGAATGCTTCAGAATAAATATGAAACAAATCCTTTCATTCCTACAGAAGAAGAAGGATTTTAAGAATGTGCTATATTTCCCCTATTTGGCCCCGCCCCTCAGCCCACAGGGGGCCAGACCCACCAAAGTGTGTTTCCCTTCCACTAAAGATGCTTCAGACCAAATTTGGTCAAAATCTGCTCAGTCGTTTATGAAAAGTAGCGATTTTTAGAAAAAGTTGACGGACGACGGACGCCGCGCCATGGCATAAGCTTACTTGCCCTTCGGGCAGGTGAGCTAAAAAACGCATCCAAAATACGGAAAATAATAACTAAACACAGTAATCTTCAATAAGATTCATCAGTTTGGAAATATGTGATATTAAAATCTTACTTTTTACACAAACAATGTACGTATTAAGGTAATAGGATTGTGTCGCCATTTCTCAGTAGAATTTGTGTAAAATGAACTATCTATAAACGATTAAAAATTGACATTTTATAATAAAACCATATACACATATAGTAATTGCATGAAAGAGTTATCGTTCTTGAAAAACTTCACAGTAGGGAAATAGGTAGCCGGTTTCCTGAAGTACAGAAAAATGGACACATGTGACTCATTGATTAAAAAACTGAACAATCAGCCGTGTTTCGGACCATGACGTTAACCGACGGTGGATCTTCTTTAAGACAGTTTTATGATCCAGCGCAGAAGGTAGGTCTATAGTCCGGTCTTCAAACTAGACATACGAAAATTGCTTCAAAATGAATTTGATTTCGTTAAAAAATTCGATTAGATAACATTCATGCAAAATATTTGAAATAGAGACTAACTTATAAAACATATTAGTGCATTATATAAAACTACAAATCTACGGTTTACAGGTTTTATACTGACGCATTAATGTTCCATAAAAAAACCCAAATATAATGTATAAGCAATTACATATATTTACTAAAAGTATACCAGAAGTAGTTTATAAATTTGTCTCAGATCTACCGGTGAAGTTTTGACCAACAAAACCACCTGCATTTCAACGTAACCGCAGCCGTATCCTAACCCCCTAAAAGCGTAAAAATAAAATAAAATAATAGGCAAATTTCTTCCTGAAATGACATTCACCCTTTAAGTAATCAATAGATTGTATGTAAAAAAGAATTTCTATTCACGGGTTCCATGATAATTAAATAGTAAATGCCACTACTGTTTTGTTTGTTTGTATGTATTTTACGTCCTATTAACAGCTATGAACATTCAGGGCCGTGTCACTAATGAATGTTTCAATAGAAAACTAAACGCAGGATAATAGGTCTGACTTATGAAAACCAGGTAAACACAGCAGGCAAAACATAATATTTCACACACAAAGACTGTAGTTACAGTAGAAAAAACCTTCATCCATACATTCAATAATATCTAACAAATCACAACTGTTTCATGTGTTTCAACGGACAACTGCATACAGGAACTGGAAATTGGCAACTATTCTCTTTCTTCATAGCTTAAACAATCCTGTGATATTCTTGTTATTTCGAGTTATTGCTCGTTTTAACCGATAAGAAAATTGCAGTTGCTGATGCCACGTTTATCCATATAAGTGCAGTCCACACAATCTGTCCGTTCAATCAAAAAGACATCACATGTCCGTCCGTGCGTATTACTTACAACACGGAACGCTGGCACCACAGCAGCTTAAATGAAAGAAATGTGAGTACCATTAAAATTGCATATTTCATCGACGAAAGTGTCAGTGCAATGTGACGGTAGACGCAATCAGAACAACGCAGATGAATAACAATGACTGCAGACCATTTTAAAGCACCATGTAATGGCGCTAAGGAATACTACCTATATATGATCAATATGATATATGATAACTGTTTGATGAGAAAATATCACACGGACATCAAAGCATGTATTATCAAGTTTTGCCTAAATCACACCGGATCGTACAATTTCTCGATCGTTGATGGCAATTTGGCGGAGGTACGACCAATCGGCAATGTTTGCTACGAACTCAGTTGGCAGTCGCATACTGTGGTTGCTCTTAAGATTGGTGGAAAGTCAGCATACGACTGGTCGTACGAGTTGTGTAATTACTAGCGATTGAAGAAGATTGATCGGAAGATCGGTCGTAAGTAATCGTGCGATTAGTCGTGGCGACCAGCGACTGATCGTACAATCGGTCGTGGCCACCTATGACTACTGTAGCAGGTCGTGCGTGCGATTGGTCGCTCGATCAGATATATGGTACACGATCGTGCATCAGTCTCTGTAATCATCTAGCCTTCGAGGACTGGTTCCTTTTTTGCAAATTTGCGGTTACCACTGGCTGTCTTTGGGTGTCGTAGTGGAGAGTGACTTGGACCAGAAGTCATTCCGAATATACTCGTTCGAGAGCTTAAGACTGGTGGTACCACCAATAGTTAGATAGTGCAACCAGTTGGAACTGGTCGCAATACCGATCGTGGGCCTCGTATAGCAGGACCTAGCTCAAGGTGGCAGGACCAGTAGCACGACCAATCGTGCGACTATTTGACCCGCGATCATGCACAACTGGTGGTGGGTCTATGCGCAACCGATCGTCGGACAATAAAGGCCTGTCTGCGACCTCTTACGATTTGGAATCGCAGGTTAGAAATTTTGATTAGGATCATCGACCTTGCTGCGACTGAGTGCGATTGTGCAAACAGCCACGACATCTGCGACTAATCGCACGTTCTTTCTACGATTTGCCCGCTATTCCAACATTTTTCAGTCGCAGCTAAGGCATGTATTTATCGCATGCTTGTTGTGACTGGAGCTTAAGGACAAAGTCTCAAGTGACCTATTGCGATCGCCTTTTGTCCGTCGTCGTCCGTCATCCGTTGTGCGTCCGTAAACAATTTACATTTTCGACTTCTTCTCCAAAACCCCTTAACCAATTTCAATGCAATTTTGCAGAAACCTTACATGGACAAAGGTCAACCAAAATTGTGAATTATATGGTCCCCCAGGGGCCTGAGGGGCGGGGCCAAAAAGGATCAAATTGACTTATATTTCAAAAATCTTCTTCTCAAGATCCAGATATGGTAGAATCAAATAACCTTCATAGATGGAAGGTTCTTAAGGTGCTTTACCAAAATTGTGAATTTCTTAACCCTGGGGTCTCACGTTTCCCTCTGGAGAGGGTAAACTTTACTATAGTTCTTATAGGGAAATCACATTTCGGACCAACATTTGTTCCATTGGACGTAATTCAATTTGGGTTAGCATTATCAGTATTGAATAGCAGTTTACTAGTATACACATATCAGCCCTGACTGACCCCCAGGGGCTGATGGGTGGGGCCACAAAGGGTCGAATTGACTGACATTTCAAAAATCTTCTTCTCAAGACCGAGATATGGTAGAATCAAATACTCTTCATAGATAGAAGGGTCTTAAGGCGCTTTACCAAATTGTGAATTTCATGACCATGGGATCTCACGTTTCCCCCTGGGGAGGGGGGGACACTTTTCTATAGTTTATATAGGGAAATCACATTTTGGACCACATTTGTTTAATTTCCATTGGAAGTAATTCAATTTGGGTTAGCATTATCAGTATTGGATGGCAGTTTGATGGTATGCACATATCCCCCATGACTGACCCCCAGGGGTCGATAAGTGGGGCCAAAAGGGTCGAATTGACTGAAATTTCAAAATCTTCTTCTCAAGACCAGATATGGTAGAATCAAATACTCTTAATAGATGGAAGGGTTTTAAGTTGCTCAACCAAAATTGTGAATTTTATAACCCTAGGGTCTCATGTTGCCCCCTGGGGAAGGGGGGGGGGGGAGGGGGCAAAATTTATTATCTTTTATAATGTCATATGATACTTTGAATATTACATGTTGATAACTTGATTGGAATTATAACCCTGAGTTGACAGTTTGATACTTTGAAAATGTTGAGCCAGCCCTACCTCCAGGGCTGTAGGGCGGGACCCGAAGGAGTCAGTGTCCTAAAATTTCTTCATTTTCCATGTTTCGAATCAGAGGTGTTAGTTTCAAATACTTTCCAGTCTTAAATGTGTATGCTAGATATTGAATAAGGTGGTTTTATTGTTTTTTGTCACTTTGAATAATATTTCTGTTCATGTTTTAAAAACAAAAAACAACTCTCTTTATAAATACATTAGAACTCAGGTGACCGTTAAGGCCCATGGGCTTCTTGTTTCTGACCTCGAGTTACTTTCCTTTTTTCTGTAGCAAAGAGTTAATTGGAAAGAAATATAGTCCTTGCAATATTTTTTTTCACGGAATCGGAGATTTTTAGAGCAAAAGATCTTAAATACAAAGCAGGGATCTTATCCACGATACTACACGTCATAATATAAGTGTTTTCAAACTTTAACATAACATAGCTTTGAATAATTTCATATTGTTCCTTACCCCCTAAAACGTCACTGATTATGATAACTACCACATTGTGTATTTAGAGGAAATCATATACTTCTAGGAAAATATATTCTGTGTCTGCATGCAGTCTAAAAATTGACTTTCTAACCTAAAAGTTCACATTGACATCTATGAAAACTCATTTTCGTGATGGCTGTTTTATTGCATATGTGGCCGTTTATGGGTTCAATTACAAAAACCTATAATATTAATGCTTTTGATTTTTGTGAGAAATAAGACGGACAATGTGGATGTAAAATACTAATCACTCACCATTTACGCTCATTAACGTCCAGAGTATGATCATCTTTGTCAACGAACTTCATCAGATCGCTCTTGTTTTTCTTCTCCTAAAATACATTTTGATGAAATTATTTTTTATAGATAGCACATTACATATATAAGACACTTATTTAGATAAAGCTAGAACTGTAAGCCAAGGGCAAACTAATACCCCCGCTCCTATATAGACCAGAACTGTAAGCAAAATGCTTACTAAGGCAAAGCATTGCAAAGCAATCCAGTCTCCCACCAGTAATGATTTCTTTATTGGCTGAGCTGTACACTTATTTAAGTATATAGGTCACTCACATACTTCCTGTACTGTCTCCCAATGCCAAAACATACATGCAAACCGAATCTTGTTAGCCAAGATGAACGAGTTTTGCTGAAATCATCTAAGTAAGGAAGGAAGAGATGTCAGGACAAAGTGTTTTGACATAGGACCATAACGCCTTAAAAAGGGTCAAATGATGCATGTCCTCAGGGAGTAATGACCATATCTGCAAACTTTCGTTGAAATTGCCCATGTAGTTAAGGAGGCAGAAAAAGGATTTATCAACAAAGGGCTATAACTTCTTTTAAAAGGGTCACAATGAAAAGGTACTACTTGGATGCACAACGACAAGGGGCAGTTACCATATATGTAAAGATTATTTGAAATTGGCCTGGTAGTTTTTGAGATGTTGTACGAGCAAGTTTTTTTCAACAAATGGCAATAACTCCGTAAAAAGGTTCAAAATAATACATGGATGCACAACATCAGGTGGTAGTTATCATATATGAAAACTTTCATTGAAAATGGCAACGTAGTTTTGGAGGAGATGTCCGGACAAGGTCTTTTCAACAAAGGGCCATAATTTTGTTAAAAAGGGTCAGAATGAAAAAGATAAAAAAAAAAAGCCTGGATGCACAACAGTAGTTATCATATCTGGAAATTTTCGTTGAAATCGATCTGTTGAAGGAGTTGTCCGGACAAAACATTTCAGGATTGTTTTCAACAAAGGGCCATAACTTCGTAAAAATAGGGTCAGAATGAAAATGAAATACCAGGATGCACAACTTCATTTGGTAGTTATCATATTTGCAAAGTTTGAAAGTTGAAATTAAGAAGGAGACAGACAGACAGACAGACAGACAAACTGATTCCCGTATACCCCTTAGCTTTGTTACGAAGGTATAGCAATCCTATATGTACAACATAAAACTTTTATTTCAGGAATGATTATTGCTTTTTGTCAGACGTTAAGGGGTGAATTGAGTTAATCTAGAGACAAATTTAAAAACCTGTTTTGCAATAATTGTTGAGTTCGACTAAAACCAAACTAAATTCGTCACCCTGTGAGCAATTTTCAATCCTTTTTTTAAAAGTAAATCGTGTTCTGTCTAGAGCGTGTGTAAATTTGGGCTTGTGGAAGTCAACGTGTTAACTTAATGTCAAAATATAGGCCGTCATTGAATGGTTGGTTGTCCAAGCCGGAAAAAATTCAACAGTGCTTATTTCAATTAATGCCCATGAAACTGTCTGCTGTCGCGGCAGATTAATGTTGGCTTAACATCATGAAATTCAACCTAAAGTCCCCTCCATACACACACAGGATTTTCTTTTATTTAAGAATTCTAAAACTGTTTGGCTATTTCAGTTATAGTTTCAGCCTTGATTCAGTGGTTTCACCGTTATATATTATGGAGGTGATTGCTAATATCAGTTTGGCCTGTACGGGCAGTTGCCTGCGACAGGCGCTCATTCATACCGGAGGTTGCTAGTGAACAGGCCATTGTTAAATACGGGCGGTCACTTAAGCATGTTTTATTTAGTTACCATGATGTCCTCGTAAGTCGTGTTATATATAGCAATGAACACGTTCAATGTGATGATGGTGAAGAGGAAGATGAAAAATGTGACGAATATCGTGTTGAATGCGTAGGCCAGTTGGCTTTCTTCGTCTACAGCTGTCATGGTCACGTAAACCTCGTCCCCATTCATGAGCGCAAGCAGACACTGGAACGTGGCGCCGAAGGACAAGAACTGTAGGAATAGAAGCTTTTACAGGTGAAAGATTTAGGTAAATTTCAAAACTTAAATATACACATAATTACAGTAAATGTATTATAAATCACAACTTGGACCGACCAGTTCAATTGGTACACCATACGGTTATTTACACATATAAATCCTGTTTCCTAGTATGCATTATTTACGTAAAACAAGAACGAAGATTTTACAGTGGTGTACAAGAATAACTTATACAAATACATAAGACATTTAAATCATAAGGGCACCTGTATAAACCGCCATCCTCGAAAAGTCCAAATTTTGATGTATTAACATAAGTATGTATTCTAAATTCAAAATGAAAACAAGAATGAGGAACATTCATAGAGATCTCTTATTATCACAAGTGATAGCATGAGCTGGTTTGACTGTAAATAAATCCTTTAAACAAACAATTCCTATATACCTTTATATTGTGTGGTCCTAACACTGCCCATCCACACAAAGCAAATCCCACGTACATGATACCAATGCATAGTAGGAAGCGCATTATAGACGAAGCCGATCTGTCTAAGACATTTAACAGCAGCTGAAAAATAACAAACAAGATCTTATTTAGTCAAGAACGACGGTATCAATTTTCATTAGATCACCTAGTTATTATATTCTATTTGTGGATAAAAAAATCCTTGAAAATGAGTATTTGAAGTAACTTGTCAGTTATTTGAAGTACTAAGCATAGTAAATTTAGATCGTCTTTAAAATCCAAGAACTCCGCTCACGATACACATATCGTATCTACACTCTTGGAATATGTCTGTCAAAATTGAAGGGTTTGTTCTCGTCACCATGCGGATGTTACAAGTAGACTAGTTTGAATACTTCGACGGACATCAGAAGAATTGTGTGGCAGCCTAACGACAAATTAGACCGGATTTCGTTTGAATGTAGCTTCTCTGACGGATATCAGCCCAAGGAATAGTCAGGTTTTTATACCTGAAGTAAATTATACATTACCACGTTCCTTCGATTTTGTAATGACAATTTCCAAAAGAGTGGTAAAGATATGGATATAGACGTATGAACTTTCGAGTTCGGATATAATTAAAGGTGATAGGGAGGAGTGATTTGTTTTTCATCCGTAAAATGAGTGAGAGCTCGTTAACGGCCAACACGAGATTTGCGCCAAAACTCTGCTTGTTTGGGGTTTAGTGTGCTAACAATAACTATGACGGGTTCCTAGGAAGACAATGCCGAACCGAAAAAGTAAGAAAGTGAGAAAAAAAAACCCAAATACATAGATCCAAAGTAGTGTAATAGGAGCAGAGGATCAATTTTTTCATGTTTTAAGCAGAGGATAAAACATAACATTCCCGATACTGTTGCAGGCCTTCATTAGTCGCCCCTTATGGCATGGAGTGGGATACGGAAGGTCTATTCTTTCCACTTATAACTTACACGTGTGTCTCAATGGATAAATTTGCGCGTAGGCAATTCAATGTATTATTTGCAGTGTGTTAATAATTTCCCACTTGTATCAATAAAACAACAATAATAATCAATAATAAACAAACGAGTTTACTTCTTTGATAGACTGTCAAACTTACACTAAACATCTTATCGAAGGCCAAGTAGTGAAGAGATAACATCAAAAGCAACAGACACCCTGTCCCCAACATGATACCACACCAATCCAGTTTGTCGGGGGAGGTCAAATTCTGAAATAGTAAGTATATTATTGGATAATTCTATAACGGATACCATATTGCAAGACATGCTAGGTGGTTTCCAATTGCGGAACATAGCACATATAACACAATAAAATAAGTTTTACACCTATCCCATTATTCTGTATTATCAAAAATGCAATCGATAAAATATTACTGATCATAATTTAGTTGGTTGTAATTTATGAAATCATGTTATCTGCTGCGATAGTCCGAGAATTGAAACTGACTCACAAAGAAATTTTAAAATAATTTGTGCTCTACAGTACACTGTCTCTACCTGTTTTACAGACTGAGGGGAAAATGCTGACAGACATTCAGAAGCACCCTCTTAACATCCAGTCAAAAAGTATTTATAAGCATAGAGGATTTATTAGAATTATAGCCAACTATGTACTGGAGTGTACAAAGAATATGTACTGATGGCGATTTTCACCCTAAATTTCCATCGGGGAATGGAAGCAAACCTGTAAACTGTATAAATACGCGTAGCGGAGTCTTACCAAGAATACATATGCTTAGTATTTTCATACTCAAAACAATACTTTCCAAAAACTGGGAAGAAACGAGAATTGTATGAAAGTACGAAAAGTAAAATATCGCCCAATGGGGTACGAGTATTTGGTATGAAGACAAAGACAATTTATCCATTGTTAGACAATTAAATTATTGAAATCTAAACTATAGTATCACGTAATGTTTAGGCATATTGCAACAAATATAATATTGCTTGGTACTTTTAACATGTTGATATGTAAACCAAGGCATATTGAATTGTAAATAAAACGAATGTCTTGCGTTTTAAAAACACAGGGTATATGCATTAACTTTTCCACAAAACACTAAGATATCTAAATTCGTGTTTCATTACTTCATTTACGATTCCTTTAACAAAATCTGTTTTATACATGAAATACATATACAATCTTATACCTTAATATTCAAAAGTTTTATATTAGTATTTTACAAATTCTTTTGACGAAATCTAGAAATCTAATTGCTTCGTTATATTTCATGTTTCAATGTCGGTTCGGACAAAATAATTTCACTATATGGAGCTAAATTCTTTAAAACGAAAACGTAAACCAACTCACCCCAACGTCATAACTGATTTTTAAGAACGAACCAACGATGGTCAAAAGACAACTGATGGTCATCATGACGTCACGGAATTTTAATACTTCCCAAGTTCCTCTTCTTGACAATGGCTTATATGTGTTACTTTTGTCGTCTTTCGATCTCTTCTTGAAAAAGATTCTCACTTTCTAAAGACAGAGTATCATATTTCAAGTTATAATGTATGCTTAAGGCTTAACTTGAGTCAAGTATTGTACTTAATGGATGTAAACCACTTTCATCGTGAAAAATTGATTTCTCTATAGTTTGCATGTATGATATTACGGTATATTGCTGGTACATTAGAAAATTTCTGTTCCATAATATCCAATTTCATGATATTTTCGACGTAAGAAATTCTGTCTCTAAAATGCATATTGTTTGTTATACATACATGTAGATTAATGAGACGTCACCTTGACTAAAGAATCAAAACTCGATCATTGATTCATCCATCGGAAAGATATTATATAAAAACATATGACATAAACAATGTGCCATGATTTTTTATTAATTTTCTGATTTAATAGCAATACATTGTTTGGTTAGGTAATCGAAACGTAGGTAGATCAAATAATGTAGCTTTGGATAATAAAAATTGGGTACACCAGGGAGTATATGAAAACAGACAAATTAAGTAAACAAATTGTATCGACAAATTACTGGAGCCAAAGCTACTACAATAACATGTAATGAAAACAAACATACTTCAATGAATATAGACATATAGGACATAATATTAGTCATAATAAGAAAACTTTATTTACAATTTGTTGAGAAGACCTTTTGGTAGTAAATTCAGCCTTTTTATAAGAAGCCAAAGATATTTTAACCTTATCATGGATAAAAATTGTCTGCAACCACGTCTTTTTACTTTAAAATTCGACCATTATATAATCGAGTTCAGAACAGATGACATAGGACTATTGCTGACGACTAGCGTCAAAGCACGCGCGCGGGGATTTAAAACACAACATTTGTGATTGATCAACATAAAAGTTATTGTGCCATTCATGAGTTTTGTTGTTGTAAGTGATAATGGCATATATGTTGTGTAATAATAAAGTTCCTTTCTAATTTAAGATTTAAATTACGAGGATTGGACAGGATAATAAATTGATCAATCGATGGTAAGACCGAAAACCGAAGTGATCTAGTATCTAGTCCAATCCTTAAATAGCTAAACATTTATATTTACATATAACTACACATGTATGCTGAACCTTAGTTATACATGTATATTTACATATAATTGCACATGTATCTATACAATAGCTTCACATGTTTACTTACAATGAATTACACATATATTCTTACACATAACTACAAATGTATCCTAACACATAACTACTACCTATGACTACACTGTATACTTAACATTATCTACACTGTATACTTACCTATAACTACAAATGTATAATTACCTATAACTACACTGTATACTTAACATTATCTACACTGTATACTTACCTATAACTACACTGAATACTTATTCTATATCATTACAAATGTATACTTACCTATAACTACACTGTATACTTACCTATGACTACACTGTATACTTAACATTAATTACACTGTATACTTACCTATAAATACACTGTAAACTTACATATAACTACACTGTATACTTACCTATAACTACACTGTAAACTTACATATAACTACACTGTATACTTACCTATAACTACAATGTATACTTACCTATAACTACACTGTATACTTAACATTATCTACACTGTATACTTACCTATAACTACACTGTATACTTACCTAAAACTACACTGTATACTTACCTATAACTACACTGTAAACTTAACTATAACTACACTGTATACTTACCTATAATTACACTGTATACTTAACATTATCTACACTGTTTACTTACCTATAACTACACTGTATACTTACCTATAACTACACTGTATACTTACCTATAACTACACTGAATACTTACCTATAACTACACTGTAATCTTACCTATAACTACACTGTATACTTAGCTATAACTACACTGTATACTTACCTATAACTACACTGAATACTTACCTATAACTACACTGAATACTTATTCTATATTATTACAAAAGTATATTTACCTTTAACTACACTGCATACTTACTTGCCAGAGTATAACAGACTGGAAACCGCTTAGGATACTTGCGATGATGCTGACAAGACTCGTTAAGGATAATGCGACTAACAAGATAATATGCACTGTTGCTGTTTTGGTAGAGAAAAAGATAAAGATAAGTTGTTTTTTGTTCAATTAAACCCTTCTGTATATACCCTATAAACAGTTTTCTTAACTTTTTTGTTTTCAGTACTTGTCCCAGAAAACGTTCGCAGATGGCCGGTTTTCTGTTTTCTTTACTTTCTTACTCTAGATTGTACATTATACAGAGAATGTTCGCCCTTGGGAAGTAATCTTTATTCAACCGGTGATATTTTTGCCTTTCATATTAAGTTACTATGTTCATTATGTTATTTACTATTGTTCACTGTTATGACCAGTTCGTCCTCATTATGGAAAGGGAACGCAACTTTTAGTATACGTTGATGGGATATAAATGATAAACATATCAAATACATGTTGTTAAATATTGTAAATGCCTGTGTATAAATTTAAACAAATAATAAGTTGTACAAAGTGTCATGAAAAAATTATGATAACTAACGTATCCTAACACATGTTAACGTTTAAATCGGAAGGTAATCTTACCAGGTAGTTATGAGTAGATGTTGGGTTATTGGTTAGTGCGCACTAGATTTGTTTTGATATGTTGGTGAAAATATCAGAAGCACTAAAACGCGCTATGAAACATCCTAATTGTATGAGGATAATGCTTCCACCTACATATAGTTTTCGCAAGACCCAGATACCGAAAGTGACGGACGATAAATCAAGTGGCAATAACTCACAGATTTAAACATGTCTACTTCAAAACATGTTTTGTCTTGAAGATATTCGCAAAAAGTATTTCCGAAGCAGATTCTCTACTGTTTCTCAATTCTTTTTTAACTTGAGTGACACATTTCTGAGTTCATAAGGACTTACAATGAAAGTTAGAAACAATTTGCCAATAACAAAACCTCCATTATGTGTGGACAGTGTTTATTGGCGATGAGAGACAAAAGAAGAAAACTATCCGGGAAATGATGAGCAGGCCGGTAGCCATTCACGAGTAATTTACCCGTCAATTCCGGTAATTTATCTGGGTGTATAGAATATACGTTCATTCAGGAAGGACAGAGCACCATAGACCATAGACTTTGTTATAGAAATACAATACATTAATACAAACTTTTAATAATTCCAACCGCGATTGCTTTTAGTTCATTATTTTGCCTTTGGTTCCTACATTTAAACCAACATTTGGCCTGTCTGAACTTCAAACTACCACCCTAAGACATACCAAGGTTAGATTTTTAAAAAGACCAAATTATAACGACCCAAAATATCCCTATTTACATACATGTAGCATTAAAATTGAAAACCAAGATAACAAAAAATGTAAAAGACTCAAATGTCGATGAAGATGTGGTGTTTCCAGACAAGAGCGATGATTGTTGACCAACTGATTATCGACTTAATTTGATTGATAAAAAATGGATGGCATATTTCTCATTTTGGCTACAGGCCGTTTTAAATAAGATTAACTTAGTAAGAGTTTATGGATACGTGTAATGCAGTTGCGTTTTGGAAATCAAAACAATAGCAGTAAATGTATGTTAATGAACGCATGCAATATTCTGTTAAGGTCTTAAAATGAACAAGAGTTAAATTTGTACAGTTTTCGTTATAATTTCGTCATAAATTAAATGCACAAAAGACACCTGGAACTAGTGTTTTGTTGTGGTTAAACGGTATTTGTTTTAGAAATTACACTTTGGTTTGGTTTGTTTGTGTTTTTCGTCCTGTTAACAGCTAGCTATAGCCATTTAAGGACGTACGAGGCTTAGGTGGTGGACAAATTACACAGTTATTTTTTTGAAATTGAACGTTTTAAGGACTCGATGATACTCAAAGACAACAAACAGAATACGAAAATTTTGAAACAAGAAAAACAGCGGCCAAACCTAATACAGGGTACTCCCTTAGGGTAAACATTTAGATATGACATGTGCCGTTCGCCATTGGGTATCCTTACTAATTCAGAGGATGTTTGCAAGTCCCCAACTATCGAAGACAGTTTTCATGGTTGACACTCTTATAACGCATACTGCCGGTTAGGTTTACATACTTTCGATTCAGAAGCAAGTTATGATACTTAAAGCGGGTTCAACGAATCAGAGTATTTGATACCTGTTTGCAACATTTAAGACACGAACTTGAAAGTGTGAAACCTGACCAATTCTTAATTTTACTCCCGTTTCAAAAGATCAATGCGAAGAGATTAAATATACTCCTACTCATGTTAACATCATGGCCCATTGGTTAAAAAAGTGATTAACTTAATCACTGTTAAAATATTTTTTTCAACCTTTAATAATTTTGTCAATATACAAGGTATAATCTGCATGCAAATTTACTCTACTAAATATTTGATATCTGGAAAGTTGTAACTAATTCAATGATTGTGTTTTAAAGATACACAAATATTTAAGTTTGCCTTAATCACTTATTACGCTTATCACCTTTTCAATAACTGGGCCCATGATTAGGCCACATTGATACCAGAATAAACTATCAGCTTGTTCGTGCATTACTTTGTGAAAAGAAGCAACATGATACCTACCATCTCTTTCGGAGTCCCCTTGACACTCAAACCCATTGATGGACGTGGTCAGAATGACTGGAATCTGGCCGTTGATTTCGTAATTATCGAAAGTAACCTGACAGGTGTAATACAGATAATTTAGCTAAGATAGAGATATGTGTGTTCATGGTCTGCAAGGAACAAAAATTGTATCTGATAATTCTTTTTCAAATTAAAAATGTGGAATTCCATTATCTTAGCCAATAACTAAATAGATTAACGTACCCAATTTATCGTGGAAAAAGACACCACATTTTACCATATAATTTGAAAAAAAGGGGAATACCGAAAACACAAAATTAAATATATATATTTATATATAGAAAAGTGATATTAAGCTTATTTTCCATAACGTGTCGAAACGCTCGAAAAGGGCAATCAAAAGATAAAAAAAAAACCTTTGGAACTCCAATTCCAATCAAAGCTAATTAGACGAATACATTATTATTGTCAAACATTGTTAAATACTTACAAATTCAAAGATATATGTGTTCATTAAAATGGACCCCGAATATTAATCACATTTTGTTTCAAGGGATAATTAATCTTTTAATTGGCAACCCTCGGAATTTTCCGGTTTAATCTTTTCTTAGCATTACGTAAGATATTTTAACATCAATAGTTCTAGTTTATATGGAAATCAATTAATTATTTTTGATTCTGTAATACAAATTTGTAAAGGAGACAAACCAATATACTTTACAACAATCCTGACAAAACATAAAAACAAACAAACAAACAAAACGTTAAAACTACCGGAAACAGAGAGTATGGGGAAACCTAAATGTAAAAAGAACCATCTTCAAAATTGTCGACATTCCTGTTGTATGCGGCTATAGACCATTTCCCGATGAGATCACGATGGCGCCTATTGGATATTGTTAAATGGTAAAATTAAAGTACTACCTTAAAAATACTTCCCGAAATACATTAAAGTATAATGAAAGAAACGACTCTCCGGAAAATGCTTATTTGTAACAGGCAATACGGACAACCTACCCTCCCGATGATTTCAAAGCATTCCGGTGGTTTTTCCTCCCGTCTCATATCCACATGAATTGAAGATATATTGAAGTCTAAAGTCAGTTCTAGAAGTCTATAATACAAAAATCATGAAATAATGAACTGTACCTTATATCTAAGTTCCAATTTTAGCTTTGGTGCTTACAACTGTAAGTTTTTACAAGGAGCACGTCACATCTTCAAAATTGATCTATTCACTGTTATACTGAATCTGATTAAATTACCGCTAATTTAGTCATGATTCATTACTTCAACCGCAAAAGATCTGGTTTTCCAAATATACACCCAGCATTTCAGGGAAAAACGTCTCTTTCCAATTCAAAGCTTTTTCCGGTTGTTTCATAATCCTCTCATTTTTAACCAAATTAAAGTTGGCTGAATTATTGAAACTCCTTCTGTATTTGAATTCACGAAACATTAATGATATTGTATATCAAACAACATAATATGCAATAAAATAAAATGGTGCACACTTAGCAAAATAGGAGAGGCAAGGTACATTTTGTTTTTGTTTAAGCGTATTACAGGATAATAAAAAGGTTTTGTTCAAACCTTTTTTCATCTGAAAAACATTACAATATCGCCACAATATGTAAGAAGAAATCAGTAGGATATCAACATAACTAAACACGTTAAATGAGGGACAAACCTTCCGAGCGTTGAAATATGTAACATAACATCTACGTAACCTTCGCTTTTCTACAATATCAATTCTAGATTGCCACGGGCCTCTTGTAGGTGATCAGATCAGCAATAATAATTTAGTTTTGGATCCTTACAAGGTAATGGAACACTTACCTAACTAAAACACCATTCTCACTTTTTATCAGGTCTTTGAGACTGGGTTCAAGACCGTAGTTCTCGGTATTGTTTTCAACATTCCTACATTCTGTAAAAATGAATATAAAGCATGCAGTTGACTTCAGCATTCCTGACGATTCTTATATTGAGAAAACGGTAATGCTTGCTTCGTCACTATATTATATTAACATGTACTAATTGTTTGGGGGACTTAATAATAATAATTATAACAGTTATTTACGCAGTGCCAAAATACACCTACATATGAAAGGCCCTGTTTCCAGTAATGTTAATTCTCCATAGGAGCCTGCCCCGTATAATTTCTTATCTAGCTGAACTACTGTTTTTTTCTTTTCCGAAGAATAATTTTACACCTTTCCGACACCCAGATTTCATAATTTCAGTGAAAATGTATTTTTATAAAGTTGTCAATTTCAGCATCAAAGACATAAGTTCGTAAATAAAAGGTTATCTCGAAATTGTAATTCGCAACATAGTATAAATTTCTTTTGATAAATATTTCCAAAACATCGTGTTTATTCATAAAACATAAAAAAAAAATCTCGGATGAAAATACTCTCAAAATCAAAATCATAAGGAACACGTTTTGTTTGTTGTTCTGTCTATTTGTCAGCCAATGTCTTCAACCACGGGGACTTGTGTAGTAGCCATCTTGGATTTTTTTTATGAAAAAGTGTTTCTCTCACTTTTTTTCATATCTGTGTACATATTCTCAACATACCGAGCAAATACTCTCGTGTTTTTTTGTTAATTATCTAAAGAAAGTCGAAAATCGGCAATTCAACCATAGGCTAATTCAACCCAACATTTGAAAATGTTCCACCACTTACATTTTGATGATTTTTCCTCTCATCAATAGCATATTACGTACTGTTTAATAGGATAAAAATTGGTTTGCATCCAACGCCCATAAAAGGGTGTATTCTCTAAAAAACACAGTTTTTGTGTCTAAAATGTTATCATCGAAAATGGCATTTTTGAGATTGTTTCTTCCATAAAACAGCCAAATGGCGCGATGGAAACATGATTTTTTGTCACAATCATGCCATGAATGTATTCTTTACGGTGACCATCATTTGATTAGATTTTCATTAATATTTTACATAACATGCACATTTTATCAACACTTAGACAGCTTCTGAAAGGTACAACTTTGAGGAGCCATAAAAAACAAACCAAGTGACCTAAATCTTTATACTTTATAGATTTGTGACCACAACGGCATGGGCAATGCACCACCATCAGGAAATTTGAATCAGAGAAGGGGCCGTTTTGGAAACCGGCCCTTTGAGCAGAATCGACCAATATCTAATTTCGAACAATCAGAAGCATCCGTGTGGTTGCTATGTGGTTTGTATGGCAACGAAAACTATGCGATTGAATTCTCAGTCCCCTAATAACCCTATATACTAATTTTCATCAAAAGCGAACGAGATCTAAATTTCGACCAATCAGAAGCCTCCGTGTAGTTGCGGTTACTATGGCAACGAAACATATACTGTTGTATTCACAGTCCCTCAATAACAATATCTAAAGTTCGACCAATCAGAGGCCGTGGCGGCCATCTTGAATGTCCGATCGGAAAATGAAAATGTCGAAAGAAGCAGAAGAAGAAGAAGAAGAAACGTTCTGCTTCACCATGTTCCTAATGTCGTCATTCTACTGTGCTTTTTAACATTTTTAAATTATGTGGAGCAATAAAGGTCGTATTTTATCCTGCTGTTTATTATTATTATGTTTGGAAATCGGCCTTTTAAATTTTAATTCGCGTGTTGTTTAATTTAGCATTAATATCAAAAGTTTACATGTTTAATTTAAGTTCCATGTATTTAGTTTTGTGAACGTCCATTTTAGCGATGTTTGACCCTAAATGACTTAGAATATCGATGGGTCGTACAACAATACAAAAACTAAATAAAAAAGACCTGCATTCTTCAGTTGGTTTTCCGAAATTGTCAACTGCATATTCAGCTTCAGATAGGTTATTTCAAATGATACAGTGCAATTTGCATATGAAATTTTAAGACATAAAATAACTTACGTGTTGTCCTTGTCCGGTGAACTGTTACGACAGAGGGATAGGAGGTTCTGTTAAAGACACCAGATTCGAAATACGTAGCGCAGATACGTATCGGAGTTGAACCATTGTGATTATTCAGAAAAAAAGACCCAACTGCTGCCGTGGGTAGAGAATAAATCTACAAGAGATAGCAAGAAAGTACTAAAGTTTCAACAAAACTATGATTCGAACTCAAAAACGATAAAACGAAATATGAACAAAGGAAAATGTACATGAAGAACAAGATCCGGTGGTTCTGATGGGCAAGCGTCGTTCTACTTAAACGACGAATGCCGCCATATAATTATCGGTCAATCAAAGTAATGCCGTGTCTTCACACAGATAATTCGTGTAATGATAACAAAACAACAGGGCACTCTAAAGAGCTGAATAAAAAAACATCGATTTTTCCCCTGATATATCATGATTGTGACCATAAAAATTGTCCAGTCTTCATTAACCTGCTTTTTTGGAAACTGCGTTTATAAGTTTGTCGGTCAGCAGTTGACATCTAACACGGAAGATAATATCAGGAGCAAGCGCTTGCCGTCCGAATCAGCTGCAACATGTAAACACCGTAAATGGGGAAAGCTATGATATTACTATCAATACTATCAAGAAAGGTAAACTTCAAGATGGGAATGTCGGAATCGCCCTGCTCATAAAACAACTTAGTATTAAACCGTCCTTGTTGGTCAGGTTGTTAGTAAAGATCGAGGAAAGCTGCTGAAGTAGAAGAACACACAGCCATCGCGCAAGTTGGTCCAAGCCAAGGAACAAAAACGATGCTGACATTTTATAAAATCCTAACTATATGAGATATCTCTTTTACATTAAAGATTTCTGTAATTCAATTACAAATACTGTAATGTATTTACAGATATCTTTATATTTGCTCCAGGTATGTTTTATTATTTTAGAAGTAGCTCTATTGCATTTAAAGAAAATATGCAGTCCAATTAGAGATATTTAATTCCCTAAATGGTTGGAGATCAATAGCTCGAATTCTGGTCTGGCTCGTTGCAGTTTTACACTTCATAAGACTACTGCTAATCTTGTTTCCTTTAAAAGACTTTCCATTACGTTGTCGGTTGGAAAAACAGGAAAATAAGTAAAAGTTAACAATTTAACTATATAAAGCAAGAAAGATACCTATATTACATATTTGTATATATTTAATCATACATATTCTGAAAAGATCGATAACACAGTAAATAATTTGTTGATTTGAAACTTTTTGATAACTTGTGTGATCTGTGTTCTGTACCCTTCATCACACAAATAACGAGTGAAGCCCATGCACACAATCTTATGTGTTAGTCATGAACAGTCACTATCAATGCGTTTTGTTAATATACATACCCCTTCTACAATATACTGGACATGATCCTCGAGATCCTTTATATTATACACTCCATACATGCCGGTGGTTGGTGGGTATGGCATAGTCTCGTAATCCTTGGACCAGTCCTTCAGCAAAAGATGTTTCAAGGCAATGTTGTTCCGGTTCAGAAATGTAGCAAAATTGGACCGCTCGTTGGCGAACAGTACTAGCTGGTACACACATACAAAATAAGCAAAACAATGTTTACTGTTAAAGCTGTATGAGTTTACGTTCGTGTGTCTTTATCCCACGATCGTTTTTATATGTCAATTGATACTGAACTTAACATGAGTAGAATCTAATCGGGTAGTGTCAACATTATGGAATATGCATTGGGATTTAGCAGAATTGTTTTTTCCCAAACTCGCACGAGTACCTCTATTCATTTATTGACATTAACTATAATTACATTGAATGAGAGTATTAATACGCTCCACGCTCGTTGTGTTTATGTAGGTGTCAGATATTAAGAGGATTAACGGTAGTATCATGAGGCACCCTGCTGTAGCTGCATTATCATGTTGGTATACGATAAAACAATGATAAAAGAAAAGTAAGAATATTAAAACAAACCTAAATACTCAAACACTACTTGATAAAAAGGAATTACTGTTACTTTACCTGAATTGTAGCAAATATAACATTTAATATGAGGAGCACCATCTTGCAAGGTACTTTTTTACAATTGCTTTCATTCTTGCAACCACGTGTGCACGTATGGCTAAATTGCTCCTGTAGCTGTTTCCTAAGTGTAGCCTCATCTTTGGGCCAATCAATCGAACATCCATGTGCTTCCTCGTGATCATTCTGAGTGTTCTCAGCACCGCTTAGATAGGCTTTAACATTGCCTTGATTGACATCAGCACTACTTTCCTCCTGGATACTTTCTCCTTCTTCTTCGGCATTAACAATGCCTTCATGAGGCGAATCAGCTCTGTTAACTGTAGATTCTACGGTCACGGAAACGTCCTTTACGTCTGTAGAAGCCATATGTTTTTTTCGTGGAGACTTGCCTGGAACTTGTTGAACCGCCTTCTGGTAAGACACTAAACATTAATTATTTCTTTATCAATATTTTGTCGAATTGTCATTACAGTTCTGTATTATCTTACAAGTTCATGGGTCTAAATAGACAAAAAATAATAAACAAGTTATGTCGCTATAGCTTTAGTACCGGGTTGATCACATCTAATAACACCTCAACACAACAGGTGGTTGACGTTCTTGTGAAACAAAGCAAACAGGCGGTGTGTGGGCTATGAATAAGGATGGAAGGAACCATACAGGAACTGTAATTGTCTCGGCTACACAGTCCGGCGATCGGGCTTTTAACATATCATATATTTGTTTAAGATGGAATGCAATAACCTGATAAAATATTTAATCTTACTTTGTTTTCAATTTCTCAGTAACATTACATGCCTGTACCACTTTTTCAGAAAAGTATTTAGGTTGCATTTTATATGATGAATGATTGAAGTTCAACAGCCCAAATGTTGGTAACTATAGATTCGCTGTGTGTCAAAAACGCATTTAAAGTTGGCAAAAACCTAGGCTAATATTGTTTAAATCAGAAGTTTTGGCAGTCTGTAAATCTTTGTGTACGGCACTTACCCAAGATCATACTACATCCAAGTTCGATATCTAAATTTGCCTAAAAAGACAACAGTATATTTCTTATTTAACTGTTGGTCGCGTTTAGGTCGAAATAGGGACAAGAACGCTTATACCTCTTTCAACTCTGAATGCCATGCTGTTCATAATGACAAGAATAAACATTGGCCCTAAGGACATACTGACAGTTGAATGCAGCTTTATTGTTTTAGTGTGTGTAATAAGGAAAAAATAACACAGCTCAAACAGGAATCACTTGATATGGAGTGATGAAGTTTCAGCATCCAATTAGCTGGTCAGATAGTGAGGGAGTGAGAATACGATGGCGAGGGAATGAGATTACGATGGCGAGAGAGTGAGAATACGATGGCGAGGGAGTGAGAATACGATGACAAGGGAGTGAGAATAGGATGACGAGGGAGTGAGAATACGATGACAAGGGAGTCAGAATACGATGGCGAGGGAGTGAGAATACGATGACAAGGGAGTGATAATACGATGGCGAGGGAGTGAAAATACGATGGCGAGGGAGTGAGAATACGATGGCGAGAGAGTGAGAATACGATGGCGAGAGAGTGAGAATACATGGCGAGTGAGTGAGAATGCGATAGCGAGAGTGAGAATACGATGACAAGGGAGTGAGAATACAATGGTGGGAGTAATATTCGTGTCGCTTATAACCTATCGCCATAGTATTTTCGTGTTGTCACGTTGTTGGCTTTAGGTCGAGAGAGCAAGATTACTAGATTTGTGATACCGGCCACCATAGGTAAATGTATACAACAAACAAACACTACAGTGGAATTCTCTTATGCTATGCGTGCAGTACGGCAGGGATCCTTAATTATCAAGTTTACTACACTACCAAATTCAGATTTTTTACCTCTGCTCATATTTTGACCCTTAATTTACGAAGCTTGACAATATCTTTTCGTAACAGGATTCTGCAGACGTTTTCCGTTTGGGCATAGTTATTACCCTCCTTACACAAACTAATCTTGCCACTATGACACACGCATACCATACCGGCAAGGCATATAATCTTGACTGATATTTGTTATTTTTAGATGTACGAATTTGCCGAAAAGGTCGCTTGCATATATCAGTTTAATTTTTTCTCCTGTTACAAAATATAATCCAGACACTACCTGCACATAGACAGCCTCCACAAATATACCGCCCAGACGCTACCTTCATATTTCATATGTAAACAAGTGCATACGCGTGAACAAACATTGTGGTGTTATATACATAATGCATTTCATTCAATACCGGAACTGTTACCCAGAATGAAAGTTATAGCCACAAATGTGCAGGTTTATTGATTAGCTCGATACGGTGTACACCAAACAAACATTGCATATTGCTAACATACCAAGCATGGTTACCAAGTATCACTAAACTCGACCCCCTTTACTACACCCGGTTACAAAACATATCATATCAATGCTTAAAACTGCTACCAGAAACCAGTGTCTTAATAAAACTCGCTTACTCTCGACCTGGGATTCTGGTTAAGTGGACACTGTTGTGTTATTATTTACATACCTTTACCTGGATTTGTGTGAAATTGTGTGTTGACGATCTGCAGTGGTGAATCCTGTCTCTATTAATGTGTTGTCGTCATGGGTGACAGTTACCCGGCCGGTAGTCATGTTGTTTTCCAGGAATGTAGTCGGTAAATGTCGATCTACGGGTACGTGCATGCTAACGTTACACATAGTGGCCCAGCACCTAGCACAGGTATATACCTTAAAATTGGGAGAGATAATGTAGCAATGATATGTTATATTCTGTATGAATTGTTCCGGACTCTATGTGTCAATATGATGTCTGAACTACCGAATATATATTTACAACATATAAATGAAATGAATGAAATACAAAAAGAATGAAAAATTAGGTGAAGCTGGAATGAAAGAGAACAGTGAATGAACGGGCTAGGTCACGTGCTGTAGGAAGGATGAACGAGGGCGTCTCAACTCTGGCATCCGTCCGAATATACACTGGGAAAAACATGAAAATAAGTATTTAACCGAATGAAATCCAGGATTCAGATAATTTCTAAGGTTATGTGATATTGAAACTATGTACTTACGATGTGAGCTTGGGGAGAAATAAGACAATGAGAAATAACACATTATTTAATTTAATTAACAAGACGAGGCGGTCAAGTTGGTTTAGGCTTTTCTTTTGTAAGCTAGGATAAGTTACATTTTTATTGACATAAAATGTCTGTTGCCATGCAAAACAACAAAATTCATAATCGAGTGCCCTGGACACTACGTGGATGATTGTGAATGAGAACAAGTGCCCCGTGTGACCTAGATCGAAAGAAACAAACATTGACACAAAAAACTATATTTTCCAAATGAATTTAAATTTGCTTGTTGAAAATGAACATACTTAACTTCAATTTCAGGCCTAAAATAAAGAAAAACATATGAGAAAGAAATTGTTTTATATTAGAAGTGCTCATGATAATTACTGGCTCAGCATTTAGCTTTTTACAAAACATTGAAAGGCTCCTGAGAAGGTTGTAAAACATGTAAGGATCATTACTTTTCGTGCAACGGTACTATAAGAAGATCACAGAGAACTGTCAGATTGAACTTCAGCACGCACAAGATAGGTTTCGAAGTTGAACAAAATATGTGATGCACATGTGGCTGTATATGTATTTTTCAATTTGTGTGGAATGTTTTGTTACCAAAGTGTCATTTCTATAAATATTATCTTATTATTTACCACAAGTAATAGTTAACTCCTTCAGTATTTGTAGTTTTCAGAACGTTCATACCTCAACATGATATGACAACCACAGCAAACACAATCCTTTACTTAACGCTTTGTTTAAAATTTATTTACAAATTCACAAAAACAATGCCGATTAATTTGCGTTTAACAATGCGCCGAAATTTGTTTTACATTTTAAAAGTCTGTTTATAGTGTAACTTTAATTAACATATGTCAAATTGAAAAAATCCTGTGTTTTGTCTGTACCTGCATTTTTTATTGACACATTACGACCTTGTATGCTTATATTGCCTTATACAATTTAATCCAATAACTGATTGTTCTTTCATAACTGCATCTGATAATTCTATCAAAGTAATCTGATGACAAACAATAACAAAGGAAGGAAAACATGAACTATGTTTTGAACAATAGTAAAATAGGGATATATTATCCAATGTTCATAAATACCAGCTGAATAAAGTTTGTGTTTTTGTCAAAATACCGTATGTTATTTGGAAATACGCGACGTTAAATAATTTGTATATCTGTTTAGTATTTTTGCATCCATAGCCTGGTTTCTGGTCTATGTTGAATTTGACGTGTGCTCAGTCTAACATATAACTCGCACGTAATTATACTTTAGAGAGTAAATAATTAAAATAGTTCAGTTAATTGAATATGGTGGCTAACAGTAAACGTCATGTAAAAAATCGTATTTGTATCCAGGATAGAAATGGGTATTACATGTTTTCAAAATATCTGTATATTTGATTTTTTTTTAGAATTAATTTGTACTCTACATATATACAATTGAGACCATGGATGACTCAACACCAAAATTCGTTACACTCTTAAAATGTAGATTATGCATTTTAGATCATATACTTCTCAAAGCTACAAAATAATCCCTGCCTACTTCATTTTAGCATTATTGTCATTCATTTACATTTTGTTTTAAATGCTATGTGGAAATAAAGAACAGTGTATTACTGATGTGACAAAATGCTCATTAAACACACAAACAGTTTTTCCTGTATATACTTTATTTCTTTGATAAAGTGCTCGATTACAAGCTTCATGTTTTCTTAGCTGTGAACTAACATGATATCTAACACTACCTACAAATGGTTACAATGACAATATCAAAATATGTTCACCAGAGATAAATTAGCTCAAATGAGACTTGCTTTATTTTACTAAAAATGCCAGGACCTACAATTCCATATACAAATCAATTATATTGGTAATGCTTTGTCCTTGAATTACAAATTATAGCAAAATACTTGCATGTCATTCATACTCCAGAACTGCAAACAAACCTGCTTAACAGATGTATGCCTTAATATTCATCTACAGCATATACATGTAGCAATAATGGTGGTCGCATCACCAAACGTGCCTACTGCAATTTCGCAATCATTGACTTATCTTTTCGCAGTATCAACTTCCATTGAGTATGGAGTGAACATGTGCAGGCCATTGGTAATTCACCATTCCAAAGCTTGTTGAAAGAACCAAATTTACACAGTACACTAGAATATGTATCAAGCTGTCCAACATTTAGGCAGCCATAGTTTTCTACCAGAGAAATTTCAATCTACACTGTACTGACTTTGCAATCGCCATCATAACCTGATTTCAAACTTTATCTTAGATAATTAGTGAACGACATATTTTTTTAAAGTTTGACGGATGACATTATGTTATGCGTCATTCATGGTGAGTAAATATTTCGGAGTCCAAGGTTTCGCGTCCAGGTTTCCGTTGATATTTCTCACTTTGAATTATTTTATTAAATGACATCCGTCGATCGTGTTGGAGATTCTGACAAGGCGTTAGGTAGCAAGGTCTTGTGTCTTCTCCGACATCACTTTGCAGTCATTCATTCCTACTCTGGCATTGAGGGGTAACACAGTGGCATATAGGATCACCCCTAGCTTACTTAATCATAAAACGACTAGGAACCCCTAGAAATTCAAATGAAAAAGTGAGAAACATTGATTTGTGGACGGATCATTAGCACGTGAAATATATTTCCATTGCTAAAGTCTCATCGGCGAAGTTAAAGAATATGGCATGGCATAAAATGACCTCTGATATAACGAGAACATATCTCATTTTGTTAATACAACGTATCAAAAATATTTCTTAATTTCAACAAGTCACCATAATATTCAATTGAGACTTACCTTTCATGCTCTCTTGCCGTGTCGACTTTCTGTACTTCATATGTTTAAAAGTAAACTTATGCAAGTGGCCAATATCTTTAAGTAAAAGAGTGCAAGTTATGCAAGAGGAAAGAGAAAAGAGCTGGGGATCTGAGATGAGCTCATAACATGTTACAAGGCAAAACGTCTTGTTACTGGTTCGTTACCTTTGTAAAAGTCGTAAATTTTGCTTTTACTAGAAGTAGATACATACATGTATGTCCTTTATTTTCAAATGCGATTTCTATAAGATGTAGCTATCGTTCCGGTAACGACTCGTATTGATTATAGAATCTGGTGTGACTTGTGGAATTCCGTTAAATTTTCATATATTAATCGCCAAAATGTTAGTGCACGACGTGTGGAACAAACAGCAGTAATTCACCAGGAGAAGAAACGGTAGTGAATACCAAATTCAAATGTCAAGTATTTTTTTTTTAGTTTCCAATTCAAACTATATTTTATTTTTTCGCTATCGAAATCGATTTATTTTCAATGAGTGGGGAAGAGCAAACGTTTCCCCAGTATTTAAAAGGGTGACCGATCACTTTGTAAAAATTTCCGTCCTTATTATACTTACTCGTACTAAGCTATTTTACTATTCGTATGTGTTGCTATATAGATAAGCGAACTCCATGTGGAATGAGTTTACTAGGTAAACAAGATACTTGATCACGAACCGCACGACATCTGTTATCTGGCGAACAAATAGCGAGAAGATACAGAAGGTTAGATAAAACAGACGAGGCCACTATCCTGAAACAGTCAGATTCGTACGGTAAGTAAATAAGTTCTATTTAAAATTATTTTTACAGGGAAAATATGTAACATCAAATATGTAAGAAATAATAATATTTGTGTTGTATTTCATCTGATATCAGAACATCAGGTTTCAGAACATTAAGTTATAACACTGTACTCAGACAACGCTTATAAGTTAACAAACACTGCTCCAAAGTACATATCCGGAAGACACAATTTGAAACCCAAAATCATTGGCGATACCAAACTTACACGAAAGGCAGCTTAACGACGGGCCGTATCCAAAGGACAATCCATATCTAAAAGACCAGTCGCTGTGAGAATCCTAAGTTCTTAACTCTTCATATAGTATTCTTTAGAAACACAAGCGTCTTCTAACCAAATTCTTCTAAGAGAATGGACAAGATACATAATAGGCCTGCGTTATAGCCTGCTCTGTCAATTTGTATTATGTAGCGTTGTTTGATCTAGTCCACATAACAGACACACTTGTAAGTCGCTAATTAAGTTTGAGAACAGTATGATGTTTTTTAATGTGTTTGGTGAGCGTCGCTGGAGACGACAAAACAGTTTTAGAAATAAAGTTATATCGCTCTAAAGAGTTATTTTGATAGGTATTGTAGCAGATCGATCGTTTTTGGTCATCGAATGGAGATGAGTGGTATTACTTCACAAACACAACACAGTAAGCTTGACTTTTGCCTTAAAAATATATCCGTGTATCACCAAGTCAAATTAGTCTTTTGGAATTCGATATCAGAAATGTTACCGCCAACACGCACATACACACGGTCTATTTTAAATAATAGCGACCTTGACCTTAAAAACTTTTAAAATCCTTATTTTACCTATACACACAGATGCGGGGCTCTGATAAAAACGGTTAGCTTAATTTTATTTGCATTTTCATACATTATCACTATACAGCAACCGTTTCATAGATACAGGGCTTTGATAAAAAAAGTAGCTTAATTTTATTTACATTTATATATATTTTATACATGTATAGCCAGACTATGTATAGAGTTGACGTTATTCTCTTACGTTACAATTGCATACTGTCCAACGGAAACACACCCTTAAATGACAGTTGACAATGGTCCTCTATATACTCCTCATCGAGAGAAAAAACAAAACACAAACTGCGATCAGTGTGAACAATAGCGGATTACACCCGGCATTTATTATAAATTATTATATTACAATTATTGCATAGTTATACACAATTACAAGCAACTAATGCCGACCCTTATCATATCATATATACCTATTATTAGCTTACCTGACCCGAAGCTTATGCCGTTGTGCAGCGTCCGTTGTCCGTCCGTCGTCCGGCGTCAATATTTTACTTTAACAACTTCCCCTTAATAACCAGAAGGCATAGGGTGATGATATTTGGCCAGAAGTAAACTGGGATGAAGGGCTACCAAGTTTTTTCAAATAAATGACCTTCGCCTATTTTCAAGGTCACAGGGGTCAAATATGTTAAAAGAAACTTTAAACAACTTCGTCTGAATAACCGAAATGCACAGGGTGATGATATTTGGCAAGTAGTATCTTGGGATGAAGGGCTACCAAGTTTGTTCAAATGAATGACCTTCATCGATCTTCAAGGTCACAGAGGTCAATTGGCTTAAAAAATCTTTAAATGACTTCTTCTCAATAACCAAAAGGCCTAGGATGATGCTATTTGGCCAGTAGCATGCTGTGTTGAAGGGCTTCTAAGTTTGTGCAAATGAATGACCTTGACCAATACTCAAGGTTACAGCGGTCAAATATGTTTAAAACCTTTAAACAATTTCTTCTGAATAACCAAGAAGCCTAGGATAATGATATTTGGTCAGTAATTTGATGGGATGAAGGGCTACCAAGATTGTTCAAATGAATGACCTTTACTTATATTCAAGGGGTCAAATATGTTTAAAACATTTATACAACTTCTTCTGAATAACCAAGAGGCCTAGGGTTATGCTATTTGGCCAGTAGCATGCTGGGATAAAGGACTACGAAGTTTTTTCAAATGAATGACCTTCGCCTATATTCAAGGTCACAGTGGTCAATATATGTTTAAATCTTTAAATGACTTGTTCTGTATAACCAAAAGGTCCAGGGTAATGATATTTTGCCAAAAGCATGCTGGGTTGGAAGACTATTAACTCTGTTCAACCTAATGTCTTTGTTTGACATTCAAGGTCACAGGCGTCATATATTTTAATCTTTTTATAGGTTATTATGAATCAAACACTGCTATTCTGCCTTTACCTGTATTTTAGTCCACTTTTAGGTAACAAGAGTACAGTAGAAATGGCTTGACCCTAAAAATAAAGGGCTTGTCTCGGATAAACATTGATAGCGGATTCATCCTGCACAACACACCTACATATATATATATATTTATAAACTACATTTTGAATACGCTTTTTTTAGAAGAATGATTTTTTTTCCAAAAAGTGATTTCTCCAGATTTGGGACTTGTGAAAACCATGGTTACCACATCAAAAACGCCAAAAAATGCAAAAAAACATGATTTTTAACCCAAAATTTGACCCACGCAAGTAGTATTTTTTTTCTTAAAACCTGTCTTAAATTAAATATCACCCTCGGTCACAGAAATACTCACGTTTAAGCATAGGTCGTCAAACTGGATTTTTCACAATATTTACACATGTACTGAGTACAAAAATAGACTACATGAAAAGCTAGCTGTTGTTGTGTAGACACAGATTCGTAAATGGCCAAAAATGTAGTCTCAAGCCAAATTTGAACTTTTTTTTTAATGTGAAGCCCACATAGTCATCATGTATATGCCAATTTTAGAGCTGATTTTTTTTAAACCTTTGATACATGTTATATTACTGGGGTTATTCATTGTACAAAAAATATCACCCATGGCCACCGTACGCTACCGTACACTGCTACCTTAAGATTACAAGTGTGAGATTAATACCAGGTGAGCGATTCAGGCCCCTCTTGTATTATCTTTAATGACACATACTCTATAACACACATGCATGCATACGCAACATACTGTGTTGCGGTTATATTTCGCGTTTTTTTTTATTTTGCTATATTCGCGCTTTGACTAATATTCGCGAATTTAAACACCAGCGCAATTATAAAAAATGTTAACCACTTTTACGGACCTTATCACAACATGTTGAAAATACTTATAACCCAAGGCTGTTATGCAAGCTTTAATGTTCTCAAATCAGATTAACACCGGACAGCCGGGCAGTCCATGTACAAAATCCACTTACATATAAGTGACCACAACATATGTATGTGTACACAGTAGGTGATTAATTGATTACACTTTACACCTACAAAGGTACATACACATTTTAGTTTCTTTCCAGTCACTGGCAGATGACGATACTCAGGATAAGTTTTTGTAACCGGTTTACCTGTATTTCTAGGTTAAACCGTTAAATGATGACACTAAAAATACTTTGCACGACACATGGGAGTCAGGTGCACGGCAAAATTTAAGTCCCACGAATATGTACTGAATACGAAACCGCGAAATATTGACCCCGCGAATTTAAAGCGCTATACAGTACATGGAGGGTCGTCCTCAAATGACCCTAACTAAGGACGCTACACAACATAAAACGAAACCAATTACCTTATAGCATATGACATAAATACTTACGAGCAAAGCAAGCCGCCCAACATGAACAGCTTTCTATATGAGAATACAAAAGGAGCACCAACCCTTTAATGCTTAAGGCATTATGTGTTGGAATTTCTAAACTGATGTTATAAAATTCTAAAAAATAAAATTGAATTGCTTAAATTAAAATACCCGAATTACGTACCTATATGACAATTTGTTTCTCCGCTTTTCTCCGAACCGCGGTTTGGTTTGGTCTGGTTTGGTTTTATTTTGTTTAACGTCCTTTTAACAGCTAAGGTCATTTAAGGATGGTCATCCTGTGTGCAAGATGCATGCGTGTAGTGTATGTGTGTGTATTTTGGGAGGCTGCGATATGTTTGTGTTCGCTCCTTGTGATAGAGCGGAACTGATGCCGACTTTATAGTGCTACCTCATTGGAACATACTGGCGAAGACACCCAGCAGGACGCCCAATCCGGTCACATTATACTGACAATGGGCGAACCAGTCGTCCAACCCCTAAATTGCTAAGCGTTAAGCAGGAGTAGAAACTACCATTTTTAAAGACTTTGGTATGTCTCGGTAAAGGGGACAGAACCCAAAGCCTTCCTCCCAGGGGTGAACGCTCAACTTCAGGCCAAAAGTGAGGCAATGTCAAGGGAGACATTAGGAAGAAGAAAGTTATTTAGAAAGGAGAGAAGAGATAAGGTCCCAAATTTAGTCGCCTCTTACGATTATGCAATTGGGGGCAGCAGGTATAATTCTTACGCCCTGCGAAAAAAGTTGAAGTCCTATATATACTCCTCAACGAGAAAACAACACGACACAAACTGCTTTCATATAGTGTGGACAATGGATTATAAAAGAACGGCATATCCAAAACCGGTCAACATAAACCAAACTTTAGAAACCTAACTTCTGTGTGACCTGCAACTTTTGTACCGAAGTGTCAGCGACATACATTGTACCCATCTTTAGCGACATCGGTTTTCCACCGACCGTGCCTTTACCAGCACCTCTTATTCACGTCGCTATCAGCCGCATGGATAGCTCCTCCGGCACGTAGAGAATGTACAACCAAATTCAAACCCCGTCTTTTTCCTTTAGCAAGTACAACAACATACCCTGTCTCCGACACACATGCGCGCTTACACAACATACTTAGAGGCACGTCCTTGAATTACCTTTGCTGTTAATAGGACGTTAAACAAAATAAAACCAAACCATCGTTGTTGAGAAGCTGCTGTAATGTGTTTATTGGGTTTTTTTCACGGGAATCCTTTTCATACTAACAGACCGATATTACCATTACGAACTATTTAAACAAAATCATGTTTTATTAGCAATGTGTTATATACTTAGTAGACAATTCGTCCGTGATGGAGGTTGCTATTTTTGGCGTTGGCCGGATTGGACAAATCCACCTCGGTCATTTGGTAGATGAGAGACGAGTTCGCGTAACATACCTAGTGGACCATGAACCAGTGCACGAGACGATAAAGGATTTGACACAGAAGCATAGCCTGACAGATGTCACCATCCTCAAAACGGAGGATGCTCACATGGCCATCAAAGACGAGAAGTAGCAAACATGTTGTAATTTTCACTTAATCACAAAAAGTGTAATACATGATGCACTTTCAATGTTCTGTAACAAATGATACACTAATAGGACCAAAATGCATATGCGTTTCTTTTTCCGCTGGTATATTTATGAAAATGGCAGGTTAAATGCACAACTATGTTAAAATTTTGTCAAAACATCTATCTTGTAACTTGATCACATATTTTGTTGCATTCATTCATAATAACTGGGAAGGTTTCACACACTTCCAAAATAATTTCTTATTGAAGAATACAAATCTTCAAATCAGATGATACTTGCTTAAACGTATCAATTCGTCAACTTGTTTGCTTTACCATTGATTTTAGAAATAAGTTCTTCCGTTTACATAATAAATGAATAGAAAAAACTTTACACTGCATTTGATCGAAATTAATATCTGGTAATGTGTAATGTAATGAAGTCTTAATTCAAATCTTCATCAGTTTTATTTAACTGATAATTATTATCTTTTGACAGAGTGAAGGCCATATTTGTGTGTACACCTGTAGGTCAAAAGGTAGAGCTGATAACAAAAGGCCTCCAATCAGGTAAACCTTCTTGCAACTTTATCGTTAATATAACTGTTTCATCTCAAACCATAAGAATACTATTTAAATGTATTGATACAAAACGTTCGAAGGGTCTTTTTACGTCATAACAATTATTAAAGTTTCTCGGAAGTTATGGCACTTTTCAAATTAGATTGAGTTATTCTAGGTTATTATCTATCATACTTTTCTTTTAACGCAACTCTTCTAAAGCATTAGGTCAGAAACAACGAAGCTTTGAAGATGTTAGATACAAAAGAATGTGTTTATATTGTAACGGCATTGCAATCATTGGATTTTTCTCAGTGTTATGGCCCTTTTCAATTTAGACTCAGTCATTCTCTGAAACTGTCATACTTTCTCCTAATTTTCAATTGCATACCGAAACGTTTTAAGGTAGAAACACAAAATGGCGGTGGGTATATTGTGAAGTCATACTTTCTGTGAACATAAGTCCTAATTTTCAATTGCATACCAAAACTTTTTAAAGGTTAAAATACAATATGACGGAAGGTTTATTGCGAAGTCATTACAAGCATTTCATGCTTCACGGTGTTGCCATTTTTAACTTAGCTACAGGATACACTATGACTCATTTGTAAATTTAGTCGCAATCCCACATAACTTTGTAGCGAGTGGACTGATAGCAAACTCATCCGTTTATTATGCATGAGATGTCCTTTCGATTCAGTCCGATTTTGTCATTGTTTGTTGACGTTTTAGTATATATATATTTTATCATAAGTATTGTGTTCTTTATGTTTTTTTGTGTTATGCTACCAAATCATTAATATTGTTTTTAAACAGGCAAACATGTCTTTTGTGAAAAACCAATATCTTTGATAAAAGACGAAGTTGAAAGTTGTTACAAGATGGCAAACGACCACGGACTAACAATACAATGTGGATTCAACAAGTATGTTATCATTAGTTCAACTTAACAATTTTATACCGTTACCTACTTTGATATTACACGATGTAATCATGATGTGGTTAAAACGATACAATTTGTTTTTGATAAATTGAAATTTAAGGTAATTAAACTGTCCTTGTTGTATATGATCAAGTGTCCAAATTGATATTTTCTGATTATTTTTACTCTACTGTGAAACCTTGTTTGGAATGCAACCATTTATAAAATGTTATTTTGGCATTAAAATGGTTAAATAAAAAGAAAAGAAAATCAAAGCATTCTGGAAAAGGGAACGTACTTGGCTGTAATCAAGATGGCGAACTAAACGATTGGCATTATATCGGAAGTTTTATTGAACTGTATTCTATCTGAAATTTTAATACTATATAATCACCTACTTAACGCGGGTTTGTTTGCTTTTGGCTGTTATGTCCTCGAAATAGCTTATGTAACATGATGACGGTATTCAAGGACGGGGCTGGTTTGGTTTTATTTTCTTATCCTCCTTTTAACACCTAAGGTCATGTGTAAGGACGTGCCTCCATGTGTGTAATGTATGCGTGATTGAGGTATGTGAGGTAACGTGCCATTTCACTGATGGGTTATCACCTGGACACGATCAAATATGACACTTCACCCCGTCACATACTACTGACTTTAGGCTAATTATTCAGCGATATGCACTATAAAGACGGTGTGAGATCCGCGCTATCACAAGTAGGGAAATACACCAATATACATGTCTCCGACACACAGATACACATACATGTAAAAATTGTAGTTTCTAATCCTGCTTAACGCTCAGCAATTTAGGAGTGGGACGACTGTTTCGCCCGTTGTCAGTATAATGTGACCGGGTGGGGTATCCTGCTGGGTGTCTTCGGCAGTATGTTTCAGTGAGGTAGCAAGTCATCTGTCTCAGTCGGGGAACACACTCCATAACGCATATTATTTTCTCAATCCTTCGATTTGTTAGAATGTTTTCATAATATTGGAGATTTTCAGTTGATTTATTCCATGTGTTGTTTTACCAATTCCAACAGACGTTTTGATACAAGTGTACGGCAGTTACATGATAAGATACGGCAAGGGGAGCTTGGACAACTTCGGATGATAAAATTGACTGCACGAGAATTACCAGGCCTTACCTGGAAAGAGTATCTTTTGTCTTCTGGTTTGTACAATCTTTGTATTATAGTCAATCTCGTTTGTTCACCACCAGGTATTAATTGTTTTCATTCTATTCAGGTATTTGAGAGACTGATATACCTTTTTTTCCGGTTCAAAATTGTCGTGTCCCAGCAAGCAAGATTTGTTTTCTGTGAATGAATGTAGAGGTATCGTTTTGCTCTGCTGTGAAGAGACTCAATTAATTTTTTATTTCCAATACCATCTATGCAAAAGATTAATTTTTATTTCTTCTCTCGAGTTTTAGTAAATCAAATATTGTTAATATGACGAGTTCAATTTCTTATTGTTTGAAGCATTTTGTTTATTGGGTTTAGTGTCCTATTGACAGATAAAGTCATTAAATAACCTGTGAATTACAACAGCGCCCCAAAATTTTATTTTTTTGCTGGAATTACATGTATGACCCTTTGCACATTTGAATTTCTCATAATTAACTGTTTGTCATACTTTGTTCGTTACCGCTTGCCACTTAGATTGTGGCTTTATCATAATGGATTACAGTTAGAGTCCAAACCCAGTGTCAATATTTCATTTGTTGCTGGAGTTATGACCCTTTGCGCATAAGAAATGTCATAATTAAATGTTTTCGCGGACTTTTTTTCGGTACCACTTGCAACATCAATTCGTTACTTTATTTGTGGCTTTGTCATGATGGACTACAGTTTGAGTTCGAGCCCCGTGTTAATATTCCATTTTTTGCTGGAGTTATGGCCCTTTGCACATAGGAAATTATCAAAATTAACTTTATGTTTTACTTATTTTCGCTACCGCTTGCCATATCAATTTGAAACTTTGTTTGTTGCTTTATCATAATAGATTACAGAGTTTAAACCATGTATTAATATTCCATTTTTGACTGCAGTTATGGCCCTTTCGCACATAGGAAATCTCATAATTAACTGTTGCCATATTATTTGTAACTTAGTATACATTTATAATGGATTACAGTTTGTCAGTTAGAATCCAGTGTCAATTTTCTATTTTTTCTGGAGTTATAGCCCTTTGCACATAGGAAATTCTTATTAGTAACTGTATTTTTTATCGCGACCACTTGCCACATCAATACGTTACTTGATGCTTGACTTTTTCTTGAATGATGGATTACAGTTCGAGTTCGATCCTCATGTCAAATTCTATTCACACAATACGTATCATGCACTCATGATCCCATCCACATATGACCTCAGATGTTGTGTGGACGTTGAGCTCCCTCAACCAACCAACAAGCAACTGAAAGCATAATGCTTTTCATATGGCCATTATGGTGACCATGATATTTCAAAATGACACCCTTTTATTGTGTGGGTGCATGTGCCGGCAACACATCCACTTCCTTCGAGTTGTAGTTTTCTGTCTCATTGACACCTGTCCTCATATAACCCTGGCTGTTGCGAGGACATACATCACCTAATAGAGAACATCCTTTGAAGTTTGATGATGTTTTCAAACCAATGGTCTGGAGCATTACTTGGTTAAGAATACTGAATGCCGTTTAACAGAGGGTCTCTCTCATAGTACTCTGGCTCCCTAGGGGGAGTGGGGTCCCAAAGGGAGATTCTCCAATTAAATTACTCAATTTGTTGTTAGGACCCCTGCACATCTTTAGTAATCAGGTTTTTTGTCTGTCTATTCTTCTATCTGTTTTTAAGTTCACCTGCCAAGAACAAGTGAGCTTTTACCCTGGTGCGGCGTCCGTCCTCTGGCTATCGTCCGGCCCTCGGGCGTCAAATTTTCCCTTGGAAAAGGTTCGCTATGACAATGCTTTGTCTGGAAACCAAATCTCGTTGGACGATGGTGCTGACACTGCATTTTTCAGATACTGATTAAAAAGGTGTGTGGCATTTTTGTCCGTTTTCTCCAACATAAGTTTCAGCATTTTTACCGGACAAACTGATGACGTTCCAGTTGGAATTGCATACATTCTTATTTCTGAAGCGTGACTCTCTGAATTGGAATGTAACCCCCCTTGCCAATTTTTCTGTTGGGTCTCAAAATTAAGTGGGACATATTCACCACTTTCGTCATTTACAAACCGGAACGAATAAGTGCGTAACTGGTGATGGAATTCCATACCTCGCGTCACGAAATGCATCGATAAATTGTACCAGACATAGTGACGGAGGATAATAGGACAGGATGGGGCGCTTGACAGGTAAGTGCTTGTAAGTGCTTGGTACTGTTGGTTGGATTGCTTTCAGATTTTATCCAGTGGTTTTTTGAAAAAAGTGCTTGCTTTGAATAGCTTTTCAGGCCCGGCGGTCAAAGGTCAAGGTCACTGTTACCATGAATAGAAAATTAGTTTAGGCACAATATTTCCAATTCTGTTGGGATGATTACACTCAGGCTATATAAAGTGCTACCTCGGAGAAAGTGCCTGCTTTGGTGCTTTGGTGGTGAAAGGTTAAGGTCATTGCTACTTTAGAAAGTATTTGCTTAGGATACAAGTTGTAGCTTTTGAGGCATCGATGTCAAAGTTCAAGGTTAATGTTACTATAAATAGAAAAACATTTCATGCACAATATTTGGAGCTCTTTTGGACCGTATGAACTCCGACTTTATCCAGTGTAATAAAATGTTTGCTTTACCTTTTGGAAAGCTTTTCAGCCTTTGATGTCACTTACTATAAATAGAACATCAGTTTGTGCACTGTATTTCGAATTCTGTTGGGCTGATGACACTCTTGGCTTTATCCAGTGGTTCCTCAAAGAAAGTGCCTGCTTTGGATAACTTTTCAGGCCCGGGGGTTAGGTCTCTATCACTGTTACTATATGAATAGAAAATCAGTTTATAAAATGCACTACTTATATTTTGAGTTCTGTTGGGCTGATTACACTCAAGACTTTATCCAGTGGTTTTATAAAAGAAAACACTTGCTTTCACTAGTTTTTGCTACATATATACCTAATCACAGTTTCTTTTAAATCTTCAATAAACATAATTATGGAGAATAGCCACGGCGGCATTTAATATATATATATATATGAAAATCTTATTACCGTTTAGCTTGTAATAATAATAATAATAATAATTGTCTTTATTTATACTTGCTGACAAAGTTTAGTCAACGATTCGTCTTACATTTTGTCAAGTAGATATAAAATAGACAACAATTTACAAAATGTACATAAAACAGTGAATCATCGGAATAAAATATGATGAAACGGAATCCTATAAATCATCCATTACAGTACTTAAGATAAGTCCATAAAAAGTTTATTTGCACTATGTTTAAAAGACAATAGTGAGGATAAATTTTTAATATGTTCCATGTATATGGTCCCTGGTACAGATAGATTTCTGAAACATTTTTGTGCTAAATTAAGGTAGGTAAAACAAGTTATTAGACAAGGATCTAGTAACTCTTGACTGGACATCCGTAGTGTATTTAAAATGGTTAAGACATTGCGGAGCCAATCCATGTAAAACTGTTTACATTAAAACTGACTGATTGTGCAATAAACGTTTTGAAAAAGATAGCCTGTTTAACTTCTTATACATGTCATTGGATAAGTATTGAAATCACAGTTCAATATAACCCTTGCTGATCTTTTCTGGAGTTTATCAAGTTTGGTTGCATTTATCTCCAGATATTTGCACAAAAGTTAAAATGTTACAAAACAGTTGTAATATGTTAAACAGGAAGACTGACTTAAGAACAATCTCAAACGTTTCATTTGAAAAATGTAAAAAGACAGTTTTTTGCATATATTATTAACATGTGCATTCCAAGATAAACATTCATCGACAGTGACCCCAAGGAGTTTTTCTGTTTTTACATTTCAATTACAGTGCCATTATAGAAGCTTATTAAACACTCGAGTTTCTGCTTCCGTTTTGATAATTACCATGTAGTCATGCAAGCTAACTAAACACCAATCTATATCCTGACCAATCAGAACGGCATGAAGTTCAATTACAGGTCTTGTAATATGAGACTGGATAGCATGTAAAACATCCTTTTTGTATTCTATTTTCGAATATCTGTTCGAAGACTTGTGAAGCAGCTGCAAAAATTGACATATTGTAAATCAGTTAAACGTTTAATTTTAGGTGGAATCTTTATCGATACCGTCGTGCACGAATTCGATTTAATGTGCTGGTTGGCTGGAGAAAGACCACGCTATATAACCAGTTTTGGACATACTCAGAACCAACTCTTTGAAGAATGTGGCGATGTTGATGGCGCTGTTATCCTCTTGAAGTTTTCTAGCGGACTCATGGGATTTATCGAAAGCTTTAGATCAGTTCCATATGGATATGACCAACGTTTTGAGGTGTATAAGTACTTTGAAATGCGTTTAAATCACAAAATTAAACATTGGTTTCATGTAAGATAATTAATTAAGAGTTAGTGATTCTTTTTTTAACTGTTGTCTCGACGGTTCCTTTTGCTGTATTTTCATATAAACTTTGACTGCTATGCTATGTATATATTTTATTCATTTAAATAGTTATTGCCTTACCTATTTTACTGCAATCCAACAAGAAAGTCTACGCTACTTTTTTCGAAATAAATAATCCATTTGTGTTACCGTGATAAACGTTAGCAAAAACACATGAATTAGGATCAAAGTATAAACTCATGTGCAAAGTATAAACTCATGTGTATCGCAGCCTCCCAAAGTACACACACATACACTACACACATGCATCTTGCACACAGGGGAGGCCGTCCGTAAAAGACCTTAGCTGTTAATAGGACGTTTAACAAAATCAAACAAACAAACAAACAATAAACTCATGTGACATTTTCTGAATAATATATGATAACGAACAATTTAGTGGAATTTCTCTTCAGAAAAAAATGACGTTCAATGTATTATAGCCTCTGAGTTTTAATTTGATTCATACCGTTTTAACGTCTGTTTTAGTGTTGTTTGACCGTAACTACTTGAATTGTCGTTTATCTGGTAACCTTACAAAACAAACAATACACAGCAATCAATAACATTATTTTATTATAATTCAGTAGCTTGTACATATTACAAAGACAAAAAGTTCATTAGACTGGTAAATAATGAAAATCCACGAAGAAATTGATTTTCCATGCAGACCTTTGAACACAATTCTCTTACCAAACAAGTATTGTTTTAACACAGGTGCTTGGTTCTGATGGAATGACAGTGGTGACCAACCCGAAAATCACCAACATCGAAAACTGGACGAAGGACAGCATACATACTTCCCCAATATGGCAGAATGGACTAACGCGGTACACCGAAGGTTACCGTGAGGAAGTTCGACACTTCCTGGATGTTGTGGAAGGTAGGATTGTTTCTTTGGGTTCTATGTCTTCGCAAAAAGATACTGTTGGTCACTGGAAATAAACTTAATGGTGAGAATTTGTTTTTTATGTGGTTAGCGCCTTATTTATAGCTAAAGTCATTTAAAGATCTGCCACCATGCGGCTGTTTTATGTTTTAGAGCGTCTCCATCTTCAATATCCCATAGGCACAAGATATAAAGGAATATCGACCATACTAAGAAGCCAAGCCTATTCCCTGGGCACGAAATGTTGTATTTACGTTTAAACAATGTTGTGTTCTGGTAGCAACGTCGGCAACAATCATACAACGTCCAAGCGACGTATTTCACATGACGTCGTACCAATGTTGGTAATTGACGCTGCAACGTTGTAATTTGGTTACAACACAAAATACGATTAAGAAAATATGGAATTGCTAGAAATACTTAAAAACATCGAACAGTATCCACGTATTATCTTACAAACTTAGTACGCACAGACAGTAGACCTACCACATTATCTGGAAATAAGATTGATTAAACTTTTGTCTCATTATGTTTCATTTTGTGAAGTTTATATGAAGGAGTAAAAACAATATCTCAATGCGTGCTGTATTGATTTCTACTTACAATTCAAAACTCCACTCCCGCTTATTTGCGCAGTATTTCTCACTTCCGCGTATTTTTCACTGCAAGAGCTGGAAGGAAAACTGACGAGAGGAGGACTAGCGATTACTTTACCTGATATCTGAGAGGTCCATGTTCATGCTCTTGTGAATTCGTATCTTTAAATAAACGTCAGTGGAGGTATTTAACTCGAGTATGCTTTTTTGAATATTCACATATTTTACAATACTGCAGTTATGATCAGTCCAATTATGCATGAAAAAAAGCTGTTTATATTTCATATCGTAACTGTCATGACTATTCTCAGCGATATAGAGCTCTTTATCGAATTTAATGTATTTACACGAGTGCATACATTAGACCTGTTATTTTATAAACAGATGAAAAGGAAATTATTGATTAGTTTCAAATTCACTAGTAAATTTCAATGTGGAGTTTGTTGCTAACAGGTTGTTTTTAATAATTCCAGTCTAAATCTATCTTAAGACACCAGTGTAATTAAGCGTGTTACATCACGCATGTTAACGGCTAGTGTCAGCTAGCATGTCTTTTTGGTGATTTGGTCATCGCTGCGATATCGGAGATAATTAATTATAACATTTAAAATAATACCAGTGGTTCTTTATGAAGGAATGCGTTTACGTATACTCTTCATATTAACCTAATTAGTTGTCTAGTTTTCATTATTCAGTGAATAATATAGTATAAAATCCTGAATCAATGTAGACGTATTGTTTCAATATGTGAAAATAAGTTGACGTATTGTGACAGAACAATAAAAAATATGTTGACATGTTTTGTATATAACTCACTATGTGAAACTATGTTGACGTGTTGTGACACTTTGTGAAAACATATTGACGTGCTGTGGCACTATGTGAGTGGTTGGCGTGCTGTGGCAATATGTGTAAACATATTGACGTGTTGTGGCACTATGTGAGTGGTTGCCGTGCTGTTGCACTATGTGAGTGGTTGGCGTACTGTGGCAATATGTGTAAACATATTGACGTGTTGTGGCACTATGTGAGTGGTTGGCGTGCTGTGGCACTATGTGAGTGGTTGGCGTACTGTGGCACTATGTGAAAATGTTTAATTCGTACCATATGCTAAATTATTCACGATTGACGAATGTCGTTAGATTTAAGTTATACTACTTTTAATTTCTTCATTTTGTTTTCTTCATTAACGTCCGATAAAAAGAAAACACTGTGTATAATGAGACATAATTATTCACAATTACATGGTATTGTTCCCTAGACATGTGTATAAAACTAAATTGTCCAATCTTTACAATCCATACTTATCACTTATCATACTTACACAACTCATCTTATCAATGCAGAATCTTTCATGCAATTGAAAATAGAAGAGGGGTACCGGATGAATAGATATTAAACATGTCTTTCAATGAAACATACAAACTTAATATATTGTCTTAATCTTTGTATCACGTTGGGAAAATGTATGTAAAACATTGTGTAAATATTGAATTCAGATCATATCATAGCTTTGCTACAACGTTGTCAAAAGACGTCAGGAAAACTTTCACATACTTCCTTCTACAGACCAAAATGACGGGCTCGTGACCGAAGGGTTGCGGGTTCGAGTCATGGCACGGCACTGTGTTGTATCTTTGAGCAAGATACTTTACTCCGCTTGTTCCAGTCTACTCAGCGTTAAATGAGTACGTGGCTAGGCAGTGCTAGAATTGTTGAATGCTAGCTGTTAGCGCCGAAACGGCAGCTCCGGCTGTATGCTCCCAGGGATTTGAGAAAGCAATTGGCTGGTTGCAAAGGCCCTATAACCACGGATAATAATTTGTGAACCGCTTTAGGACAACCTACGAACCAGTAGTTTGTGATAAAGTGGTATGTAAGAACCTCGAATTATTATTATTATCATTATTATTATACAACGTTATGTATCCATTTGGTATTATTTCCCCTTATCTACAGGGATGTCTACGAAAAGAAGAGAGAAGTGGGAAAAAAAGAGATTAAAGATGTTGCAATAGGGGCAGCATATCTTGGTTTTTCAATGTTCCCTTTAAAGATGACAAAGATGAAAACACTCAATCCTACCGGAGCATCAAAATAATTTCTTACTATTACGTGCAGTCTTATACAGCAGGTTTATTTTTCCCCGAACGGATACAAGAATTTAATATTATGTACTTTATGATATGTCCAGTGCACACGCATGCATTACAGTCATTGAGGCACTTTCCCTGCAGCTAGGGCTTAAGAATTGTACCTGCTGTTCCCAATTGCATGATCGTTAGAGGCGACTAAATTTGGGACCCTAACTCTTCTCTCCTTTCTAAATAACTTTCTTCTTCCTAATGTCTCCCTTGACAATGCCTCACTTTTGACCATTTGTTGAGCGTTCGCCCCTGTGAGGAAGGCTTTGGGATCCGTCCCTTGGCCGAGACATACCAAAGTCTTTAAATATGATAGTTTCTACTCCTGCTGAACGCTCAGCAAATTAGGAGTGGGACGACTGGTTCGTCCGTTGTCAGTATAATGTAACTGGGTAGGGCGTCCTGCTGGGTGTCTTCGGCAGTATGTTTCAGTGAGGTAGCACTATAAAGACGGCACCAGTTCCGCGCTATCACAAGGAGACAAGCACGAACATATCGCAGCCTCCCAAAATACACACACATATACTACACGCATGCATCTTGCACTCAGGGGAGGCCGTCCTTAAATGACCTTAGCTGTAAATAGGACGTTTAACAAAATAAAACCAAACCAAATCATGGAGGCACGATCTGAAATGACCTTAGATATTGATGGAAAGCTTAACCAAATGACCAAACCAAGCCTAATGATAATACAAGATAATTGTACCAGAGAATGCGGGACTATTCCCAAAATAACGAGAAGACAATGGTCTCATTGTTTAATTGATTAATTGATTTAAAAATGTTATAATATAATTTTTACCTTACAGGTAAATGTGAATGTACTGTGAAAGGTGATGAAGTACTACTGGTCCACCTACTAGCCGAGTGTGCCGCTAGATCCATGCGAGAAGGTCGAGTGATAGAAATTCCAAACTAAAGTTCTCAAACGTGGAGTAACCAAACAAGTGAGGACAGCTGATGCAAATGGTTTCAATAATCATTTTTCCCGTCTAGAACACAGAACTGCTTTGTGAAGTTTGGCTTAAAGGATCCCTGTCCCCCTGCATTAATTTTTCCTATTGATAGAAATTCCGCTTGAACATAGCATAGTAACACAGGTGGACTAGAACACTTCCGTTGACCAAGTAGCCATGTTAATTAGAGAAAAAGAACTCAGGGTTCTAATCCCTATCAAGCCAATTGAAGTTTTACACAATAAACTCTTAATTAGTTTTGTTTCGTTTATTTCATCTGTAATATTTTTTTATTAAGGTATCGGCAGATATGGTTTTCTTTTTCGAAATGTTTTATCAAAACTAAAATCATGTAGGAAAAAACAATTTCCAATACTGAGTGACAGTTTTAAGCAGTCGTACGGGAATCCTTAACTTTATCTCTCCCATCTTTAGATGAACAAGTAATGGAAAGATGTTTTTATGAACATATTCACAATTTCGTCCTTTGTCATTCATTGTTGATTATTATTTCAACCCCTTCTTATTTCAATAATTTACACATGCCATATGCAAATGCTTTTAAAAATATTCATTTTTTTCTAATTTTATCTTCGCTGCTCACATGTTTGTTTAACAACCAAACAAAAAATCACCATGGCCCTAAATGACGACAGTTGCCGATGGGCCGTTAAACACAAACAAACAAACAAACATCGTCATTCATGTTGCTAAACAGTCTGGTTTTAGACCTGGTGACTCTCCTATCAATCAGCTCCTCTAATGATATAAGCAATGCACTTGATATAGGTAAATAGGTAAAGAAATTAGATCAGTCTTTTACAACATAAGCAAGGCTTTTGACCGAGCCTGGCACCTTGGTCTTTTAACGAACTTGTACAGTTTTGGGGTAACTGGTAAATTGTTGTCAGGGTTTACAAATTACCTTGCGGATCGCAAACAAAGAGTTATAATTAATAACAAATACTCATTTTGGGAAAATATTTAAGCTGGCAGCCCGCAAGGTTCAATATTAGAGCCATTAATATTTTTAGGTGTTCATAAATGATATAGTGAATATATATATAAACCGAAACATTGTAAAGGAGTAAAAAATAGATAAACAAACCTCTCAAAACCCTTAGACCATCAATTACACTCCTTGTAACGATCTTAGTTCGCATAAAGACCTTGGCGTATCTTTCTCTGTGATAGCGGATGGCAATGTCATTTAGAATATATTATTAAAAATGGCATCAGTTAAGCTAAATTTACTCAGAAAATTTAAATACTATGTCGACCGCCAAACACCCCAGCAAATATGTTTTGCTTTATAAGACCAATTATAGAATACGGGGACCGTTTGTTATAATTTAACAAGCTTACAATCACAAATGATAGAAAAAATACAACTTAAAGCCGCACTTTTGCAACTGGGGGCACCAAACTCACTAGTCACATTAACCTTTACAAAGAAACAGGATGGCAATCACTTTCATGTAGACACAAAAACAAATCATAAAAAAGTTCATCACAATACCCCACCATAAGTAAAATTTTACCAGATCGACATTTAAACATATACAACCACCACCATAACACTAGAGACGTAGATAATGTTCGACGTCCGCGTTGTAGAATAAATGTAAATATAAATAATTTCATGTCTGCTACTCATAATGAAAGGAATACTCTCCCTGAAGATATAATAAGAGACGGGTATCAAAACTGAAAAAAGACCCATCTTACTAGAAATACAACTCAATAACAATCTTGTTTTGATGATGGAACTAGAACAGGACAAATTCACTGTGTCAGGCTACGTATAAAATGCAGTTCACTAATTGACCACCTTTTTCACAAAAATCTAATGGAGAGCCCACTCTGTTCTTGTCGTCAGGCAAGATGACATCAGCATCAAATGGTCTTTTCCTCGTCCTCTCCCCCTTATCTGTACGTTCTCCTACTCCTACTTGGTTTGTAAAGAATTGAAACATGTTGCTCCTACCATTTGTATTCGTATTGTTACATCAAACTTCCGTGGTGGCCCACCCCTGAAGGTCGAGGGTTGAGAAAAGTATATGCTTGCTTATACCCAGGCATGTATCGTTAGAGGCGACTAATGTAGGAACCCCCGGCAGAACTGCAATAGCAATTGACCAAAATAAGTCCATTGCACCCGTTTCCAATATTTGAGATCATCATATTTCTTTCTAAATCAAATTACCTCTTTTATTCCCTAGCGTCGTGCTTTTGTGTCCTCTTCTAGGAGACACAAACGCGACCAAAGTAAATATGCTGCATCCATTGCAATATTTGGGATCTTTATATTTCTTTCTGCTTCTAACTTGTTATTTCCTAGTACCTTGATTGGCAAAACCTCACTTTTGGCTTTAATGTTGAACGTTCGCCCAAGTAGGGAAGCCCAGGCAGGGACATACAAAATCCTTACAAATAGTAGTTGTAATTCCCTGCTTAACGTTCAGCATTAAAGGTAATGACAAAAACGGATTCACCCATTTTGAGTATAATGTGACCGGGCGGAATGCTTTGCTGAGTGCCTTCGGCATGGTATTTCAGTGAGATAGCACAATAAACTCGGCATTAGATCCGCACTACCACAAAGAGGCAATTACACCAAATCACCCTGCCTCCAGCAACCAATATACCCTGCCTTCAGCAACCAACATACCGGCACACATACACACATGCACGCATACATAACACACATGGAGGCACGTCCTTAAATGACCTTAGCTGTTAATAGGACGTTAAACAAATAAATCCAAGGCAAACCGTGTTGTCCATGTAGTTTCTATTAAGGAAACAGATTTGTATAAGTTTCATAACTTGTTTCTGAATAATTTTCCTTGTTATATTTATCAAATACATGTAATACATTTTTATCAATACGAAATAAAATATTTTTTTATCTTAAATGTCAAGGAAATTGGTTCGCTTTGAGTTTAACGCATATAATATCAAAACCGATGTTAAGGAAGATCAAATAAAATCGGCAAGGCTGGTTTGTCAGGGCAGATTGAATTTGTCAGCACGACATTTCACCTTGCCTGACTTTACCCTGCTCCCAATATGAAAGCATCACCATCATTACCATCTGCACGGTCAAGGTAATTGTAAAATGAAGGGTTGCGAGGTCGAGTCACGGCACTGTGGTGTATCTTTGAGCAAGATACTTTACTCCGCTTGTTCCAGTCTACTCAGCTGTAAATGAGTACGTGGTTGGACAGTGCTAGAATTGTTGAAGGTTATGAGACGACCTACGAACTAGGTAGTGATAAAGCGGTATATAAGAACCTCGAATCAATTATTATCAAAATAGTTCTGCAATTATCTCCGTAGATGGCAACAGACAAGGAACTTCAGAAATGTTGCCAAAACAGCAAATCAGTGTATTACAACTCCCAATCTCTTAACTTGTTGAAGAATGCATGGTGAAAGAAGTGAAAGGCTGGTGATAGCTACCCGCAACTCTAAAACAGAAGGATCTGGGATACTCAGATGCCAGAAAGTGGTCGACGAGTAATGCTGCAGAGACATTGCTTATATTTACAGTTTCAGTACCAGTGTAGGCAGACAAAGGACATGTAAAACTATGTGAAACATACGAACGCAAAGTGTTGAGGAATAAGTATTTTTGACTATAAGTCATTCAAAAGAACCTGATAAAAGATTTTAAAACATTTAATCCATGCGACCTTGAAAATCGAACATGGTCATTACGTTGAACAAACTTTGTAGCCCTCCATCTCAGCATGCAGCTGACAAAATATAACAACCCTGTACCTTTCGTTTATTGAGATAAGATCATTTAAATGTTTCTACATATTTGACTAAATGTGACCTTGAAAGTAGGTCATTCAAATGAAAAAGCTTGATAGCCCTTCATCCAAGCACGCTTGTATTCAGAAGAAGTCGTTTAAAGATTTTTAACATATTTGACCCCTGTGACCTTGAATAAATGTCAAGGCAATTAATTTCAACAATCTTGGTAGCTCTTTATCCAAACATGTTTATGGTCCAATATCAACATTCTGAGCCTCATGGTTATTCGGAAGAAGTTATTTAAAGATTTTAAACATAATTGACCCATGTGACCTTGAATACAAGTCAAGGTCATTCATTTGAACAAGCTTTGTAGCCCGACATCCTAGCATGCTACTGGCCAAATATCTACATTATGTGCCTCATGGTTATTCAGAAGAAGACGTTTAACGATTTAGAACATAGTTGACTCCTGTGACCTTGAATATAAGTCAAGCTCATACATTTTCACAAACTTGGTAGCCCTTCATCCCAGCATGCTACAGACCAAATATCACCATCCTGGTTCTTTTGGTTATTCAGAAAAAGTTGTTTAAAGTAAAATAAAGTTTTTTAATACAATTGACCCTCTGTGACCTTGAATATGAGTGGAGGTAATTCATTTGAACAAACGTGGTAGCTTTTCATCCAAGCATGCTCCTGACCAAATATCAACACCCTGGTACTCTTGATTATTCAGAGGAAGTTTTTACAAATTATTTTTGAGACAATTGACCCCTGTGACCTTGAATATGAGTGAAGGTCATTTATTGGAACAAACTTGGTAGCCCTTTATCCCAGCATGCTACTGACCAAATATCACCAACTTGGTCCTTTTGGTTATTCAGAAAAAGTTGCTTAAAACTTTTAAAATATTTGACCCCTGTAACCTTGAATATGGGTGAAGGTCAATTATTTTAAACAAACTTGGTAGCCCTTTATCCCAGTTTACTTCTGGCCAAACATCATTACCCTAGGCCTTGTGGTTATTAGCTCACCTGACCCGAAGGGCCAAGTGAGCTTATACCGTAGTGCGGCGTCCGTCGTCCGTCGTCAATATTTTACTTTAAACAACTTCTTCTTAATAACAAGAAGGCCTAGGGTGATGATATCTGGCCAGAAGTAAACTGGGATATAGCGCTACCAAGTTTGTTGAAATGAATGACCTTCACTTATATTCAAGGTCACAGGGGTAAATTGTCTAAAACAAACTTTAAACAACTTCTTCTGAATAACCAAAAGGTCCAAGATGTTTATATTTGGCCAGTAGCATGCTAAGATCAAGGGCTACCAAGTTAGTTGAAATGAATGACCTTCACCCATTTTCAAGGTCACAAGGGTCAAACATGTTGAAAACCTTTGAAAAAGCTTCCCCTGAATACCCAAGAGGCCTAGAATAATGATATTTGACCAGTATCATGCTTAGATGAAGGGCTACCAAGTTTGTTCAAACAAATGACCTTCACCCATTTTCAAGGTCACAGGGGTCAAACATATTAAAAAACTTTAAACAACTTCTTCTTAATAACCAAAAGGCCTAGGGTGATGATATTTGGCCAGTAGCATGCTGGGATGACGGGATACGAAGTTTGTTCAAACAAATGACCTTCACTGATAGTCAAGGTCACAGGGGTCAATTGTCTTCAAAAACCTTTAAACAACTTCTCCTAAATAACTTAAAAGCCAAGGGTGATGCTATCTGGCCAGTAGCATGCTGGGATGAAGGGCCACCAAGTTTGTTCAAATGAATAACCTTTACTTATATTCAAGGTCACAGGGGTCAAATTTGTTTCAAATCTATATTTTTCTGAATAACAATGAGGCCCAAAATTTTGATATTTGGATGAAGGGCTATCAAGTCATTTGAATGACCTTGACATACTTTCAAGGTCACATTTGGTCAGATATGTAAATGACCTTAAACCATTAAACAAAAGGTCTAGGATGGTGATATTTGGCAAGTTGCATGCTGAAATGAAAGGCTTTAAAGTTTGTTCAATGTAATGACCTCGTTTGAAAATCAAGGTCACATGGGTCAAATGATTTAAAATCTTTAACAGGTTGTTTTGAATGACTTAATTATAGTCATTAGTACTGATATTTTGCCTGTAGCTTTATTTAAGATCACCTTTTAGGTTACAAGTGTGAGGTTAATACCAGGTGAGAGATGCAGGCCCATTGGGCCACTTGTTAAGAGGAAGTTGTTTAAAGTAAAATATTGATGTTGGACGCCGGATTGACGCCGGACGCCAAGCCACAAGCTCACTTGGCCCTCTGGGCCAGGTGAGCTAAAAACTAGAGAGGCTCAAGGGCATCTAATGGGACTTACAGAAATACTTACTTTTTGTTTGGTTCCCAAGAGCTCAGTAACACATATATCATACATGTCCAAACGTTTAAAATAACAACAACAATCAAAATACACAACTATAATGGTGATTAGACATCTGGAGGCTGGAACCATCCGTAATTCTTAATAGCAGTCACACGTATATATACATGTATTTACATGCGCAAGACGCAATATTCCTTGTTTGATCAATTCCATGTGCTGCATGCTACATGTGATTTAAAACTAAACATTGCGTTTCTGTCCCCAGTGTAATGCTATTTTGACCGATAAAAGACAAAAAAAGGGCAGCATGTAAGACACATGGGTTCTCCAAAATCAAGGTATGACCTGATATAATATCAACACACAAAACATCCAACCATTGATTCTCCCAGAGATTCGCATGCATACGGAAAGTTTTGTCAATGTACTGTGAACATGCAATGTTGGCCTTGCTCTATTGCTGCCATGGAATCTAAGTCTGTGGTTCGTGAATCTGGCTCTGATCAAATCGTCCGCAACCCAGTGACTCTTGTCAACAAAAAAATAAAAGTCGTTCACTGATCGGCAGTAATGTTGGAAATTTCAGCTAGAAGATATGATTTTCGAGGCTTTGCAGAGTCTCCACCACCCAGGAGAAATCAATAAATCAATTATTTTCCACGTTTCTTTCTTTCAAAAATACTAACTAATTGGAGTTCCAATGTCTGGCTGTAATGCTCTAATTGAGATCTAACGAAGGTTTTGTATAGCGGAGAGGTTTTCCAGCTATGAGTATGATCTTCACATAGGTCCAAGATTCCTGGCTTTATTTACAGCAATGTTGATATATCTCCAAGTTGAGAATGATTTTATACGACCCTGCTCCCAGTAATAGAATGTCAAATGTTTTGTCATCTATTTAACCAACAAACAAAACCAAACAATTTGGGAGTTACGGGTTCAACCTTTTGACTCCATAGTAAAATCAACACTGAAAAAGTCTTGTACCCGTCTTCTCTCCATCATCTTTTAGATAGTTCAGGTTCCATGATCAGCTTAACTGACCAATCATTTTTAGCATAATTGTGGTATTCGACCTCTTGGCTCCATTGTTAAACCACGGAATTAGATTCAAGTCTGTGGTTAAACACAGTTTAAAACGTCTTTTGTTCTGCTCATTAATTTATGCTATGAAAATTGGAAAGAATTTGGTTATACTTGACGAAAATAAAATATAGAACTGAAAGTTCATAATTCCCTGTTCAAGAAAGCTGTCATATCAATTAAATATGTAGATGGATAGACATATCTCCTCTGTCAATCACCTGTCCAAAACTTCTATACCAGTAAAATGCCATGTGGAGGTTTTTCTTAATCTCCACCAACTACAGTATTTCATTTTTGTTTTCAAGCTGTTGGTGGTCCACAAAAGCTTGTCTTTACCAAAACCATGTTTTTATAACGCAATAAAAGATGATGTTTCTGGTAAAAAGACAACAACAAGAAGTGTCATAGTTTATCTGGGGTTTGGTAATAAACCCTGCAGATTTTAATAATAACCATAGGTGGATATAATAATATTTTGTTACAATAACTATAAGTGTCATACAATCATCTGTGTATATGTCATCTGGTACTATATCAACAAGGACAGGATCATATTTATGGAATACACTAGTGGGGCAAGGATGATGCAGGCAAAACTAAACGATAACTCCTACAGGTAGACAAGACACATACAGACAAACTAATCAATAACACTGATCTTGTGAACTATTTGACATAAAGTGACCAACAATATATCTGACATGATTTCTCTCCGATCCTTTGTGACTTGTAGCATCCCTGTCCCAACAAATGTATACAATAAATCTGATCCTGCATCCGTCTCTGTTTGACCTTTAGTCATTCCCGTACATATATATATATTACCTCTCGCTGAACTTGTCACAAAACATGTAAACTTTGAGATATCTTTTGGAATGTACTATCATAAATATTTACATATACTTTTAATTTATACAATTTGGTACACATGAACTATAAATGTTATCTTAGTTTCCATGAACATCTCATAAGTTCAATTTTAACATGACTTAAAAATGTCTTACTTTTTATATATACATAAAAGGCTGCCCTGAAATAATGTATGAATATTTATCTCAGTTGATAAGCATCAGCTGACTCTGCATTAAAAATCTGATTCAATGAAAAGTTTCTTGCCTTGTGAATTTTATTTTGTTTAAATACATTTAGCTCATTCATTCTGGACAATATAAAGTTGGAATATATATCCATACCTTAAAAATGGGTTCCTGTTGATTTTCAGCAAATATTTTTTTAAATATATTAAATGCTATGATTATTTTTCCAGTATCACAAAACATTCCATGCATATTACCAGGTAATTACAAAAGATTAAAGATAAGTTGCAGAATAATAAAAACAGGTTTGCTGTTCATTTCTGATTCTAAAAGCAAGACTCATCATTTATCCATGCAAAGAAACTGCATGGCCCTGGTATGGCTTACATCGCATTGACACCCAACAAAATGCAATTAAAAGCGATTAAAATGCCTCATATCTTATAATGATTGCATTTCACTACGCCATATTTCAATTCATAACAAGAAAAAAAATGCATTATGACAAGGTATCAAAATATCGAAAGATCTGTAGGAACTCAACTCTAAGATAAAATTATATATTTTGTAGCCACATCTTTATTAATAAATTTGAGAAGAAATATTTCAATTATTCTAGTATTTATAGTTGAGTGACATTGTTAAATGTTGGTTTGATATTTAATTTTTCTATGGCATATTCTTGTAATCAAGTCGTCATATAATCCATTGAAATGCAATAACATTTGTTAGGAAACATTGAATTTTGTCATAAATGAATTCAATAATGTTACATATTTAATCATATTTCAACTAAATATTTGTAGTTTTAAATGCCATTTATCATAATTTTAAAAACTCTTTGATATGATATCACATAAATTAATGCAAGATAAAATAACAAAGAATAAGGCATATCTCTTGTTCAATGATTGAATACCTTTGATTGCAAAAGATGGGAAATAACTGGTTTTCGAATACTTCAATTACAGTTACTATAGAAACTTCATTGGAACCTTACTATTAGGGGTTGAAATAAAATTTCAAATTTGGATGTGCCCAATTTCATTATTTTTGAGACTAAAGATACTGTGAAAGATGTACAGTATGTAAATTTTATTGTGGAAATAATATAATATGCAGATGAATGTATCTTGTTATCTACATTGTTCAAACAATGGGAAGACATGGTTGATATATGTACAGATTAAGATGAATCAGAACTACAACAGGACTCATCTTTTTCAAAACACAGGGGCGTAATATTACATGTACATAATAATATATATATAAACTTTGATGAATAAACATTGCACTTGCTAAGTAATGATACGTCCCATGACATGTGTGTTGTGATTCCATGGCAACAACACCTTACGTGTCACATTCGCCGTCTGTCCAACAACTCTTAAACGAGCCGTCTGATTTTAAATACAAATTTGTCAAATGTTGCCAACTAAGCAGGTTTTCTTGGTGTTGTATGTGTTAACCAACACACTGTATTCAACTCAGATCCTTCATTGCTGATAGTCGGTTTCTTTAGGGAAATCAATGCAAAAACTGGAACAAAAGGTTCTTCAACATTTTCCATTTGACATTTCTCTGATATCCTTAACTTTTTTCTTATCAAGGAATATTCTGCGAGAACATTGACACAGTTTGGATTTTCAAAGACTTGTTGAAGACATTACACCATCTATGTAGACTTCCTAAAACCAACTGACTGCTCAAACTGTACAAAATAGTTATTTTCTTATAAAAATAGCACTTTACCATCTACAAAATGTACATCTATATCTTGGACTTAAAAATTATTCTAGCTACATCACAAAATACTGGCTCTTCAGGTCAGAAGTCGACCTTTTCTGATCCAAGAATATCATGTAATCTTCACACCCCTTTCCTAACCCACAATGGAATTGGCAACTTTTGAAGCAGACTAGTCAATTGACTCCTGGGGGAGGGGGGATGATTTTGTACATTATTTATAAAACAAAAATATAGTAACAAATCTAGTTCTTGTAAGTTTCCATGGTAACACTTTATATTACATGCATTTGAAATGAAAAATTATGAAATTGCTCTATAAGACATTTCTTGAAAGTTCTTTTCTTTGCATTATAGAAGTATCAGAGCAAAAACATTCAAAGTTTTATTCCTAAAAGCAAAATCTCAATAGATGCAATAGGTCCAGCCCATAGTTGAAAATTTTGTGTACAATGATATCTCAACAGTATAAAAATCTTCATTAAACTATGGTGCCTCATGAAAGCTTGTACTCATTAATTTCAAAATTAGATTTGTGAAAAAGTTTCAGAGATTTTCCTCAATTACACTTCAGGCAGGCCACCTCTACATTACTTAAGAAATAATCAAGATAAGTACAGTTATCTCCCCTGAATGCAATTTTAACAAAGAAATATTTTTCAATATTATACATTAATGTACAAATATCAATGTATATTTGGCACTTCTGATGACAAACAAAATCATGTACATATCAAATTTTCAGACCAAAATGAAATATTTGCCTCAATTTTATTTGTTTCATCTCAAAGGGGCTCATAGTCCCTCCAAAGTAAAATAAATCTGTAGCCACAGTTTTAATGAAAATTAACACACCATGTTCATATATAGATGTTTGAACTGTGGATTATTAACACTTTAGTTTCAATATTTATTTATTGTAAGCAAATACAGAAACTGCTAGTATAAAAATCTACTCTAAAATCTTCATAAGTTAGGTATCAAATGTTATCTGGTACAAAATATAACGAAAAATGATTTTGTTTTATCCAGTACAAAATTTCACAAACATAAAGTTATCATCGACATTTACATCATTAAGTACACTTCTTGTAATTATTGCATCATTGTGATTATTTAAATAAAAATCTTGAAATGTGGAAATAAGTAGACTTCACAAAATCTCTAAACTCATGATCATATCTGATTAAAATCCATCAATGCCTGTTTACAATCCTGTAACTCCCCTTCAGATCCAACTGTTTATGCATGTTGATGCGATTTAACCTCTGACATCTGAAGATGGGAATGATTGGTTGAAGAAAATGCATTACTACAAACACACTGAACACATTGGCCTATAGATGTATTGCTCTAAAAAACGATACTGCCCAGTTTAAAAATGATTGACTGGCTAATTTTGAAGGTAAATTACATCTAGAATGTAATACAAAAACTCTAGGCGGTACAGTGCTCTTGTCTTGTACAACTGGTTTCATAAAGCTTGCTCTGACCCAAGCCATTCAGGCCATTCAGACCTGCAAGCATTTGCAATAAAAAAAGTTCAGGTCCAAGTTAAGTCATCCCCATATTCAATCCAAAAGTTTGGCATGAAAATGCTTTAATTGTCTTATCAAAGTCAGGTTAAATTATACAAATCTTAAAAGAACACTCATCATGCTCTCCTTATTCTTGAAATGAAAGATGGAGAAATGGATATTTTTTAGTAATGGTACTGTTTATAATCTTCTCCAATCTATTAAAATATGTCACATCTTGTAAACAATATACCATCATATCAATGAAACATGTATCCAAATCAAGTGATATCACAAGGTCATGTGACGTTCATAGCCAGGTCATGTGACACCTGTCTCCATGTCATGTGACATTTATATCCAGGTCATGTGACACCTGAATCCATGTCATGTAACATCCATATCCAGGTATTGTGACATCTATCTCCATGCTATGTGACGTCCATATCCAGGTCATATGACAACTATCTCCATGTCATGTGACGTCCATATCAAGGCCATGTGACATCTGTCTCCATGTCATGTGACCGTCATATCCAGGTAATGTGACACCTGTCTCCATGTCATATGACGTCCATATCCAGGTCATGCGACACCTGTCTCCATGATGATCAATATATTCCACAAGAAATCAACAACCTGGTATAGTCACTGACACATATATTGCATAGACATGTACTTGTACACAAGGCGATTCTATGCCCTAATATAGACTTGTTCCCAGGTGTAGGTCTCTATCCAACCAAAACCACTGTAACATACGTACAGTCACGTTCAATGTAGTGCTTTATGCCACTTTGTCTTCTTTACTGGAACCTGTGAAAAGAGACAATTAGGAAATATGAAATGAAGTAAGGTAAGACTTCAAGTGGATAGTAATGATCAATCGGTAACATCACATTTTGTTATGTCTGATTTCTTTCGGTTTTATGTCCTATTAACAGCTATGGTCATTTATGGATATGCCAGCTTTAGATGGTGGAGGCAAAATGGAGAACTCTGAAACAACCACAGACCTGTGGCCAGTACCTGGTGACTGCCTCACATAGGTATCGAACCAGCTACCCAGTGGTGGAAGGCTAGTGACAGTTGGACCACATGACCCCCCAGCCACAGTTGTCCTGCCTCCTATTTTAATCAATATGTTTGAACTTATTAGTCTACTTTAATATAACTTAATGCCCCCTCCACTATGCTGCATGCACATTTTATCTTCTTATAGATACTATGGATAGTGCATTTTTAGTAACGTATCATAAATGCTATAGGAGAAAGTTGCCTAAAAAGCCACAATGTTATATACATTTCCGTTGCAGATATTTTTAAATTATTGAAAATAGAACAATATCTGAAACAGGCAACTAGATAACTATGATCTATATCACTTAAACAGCTCTTGAAATACTTGCCTGGTTCAAGGAATTCATTCCATTGGAGTTACGAATGGCAATCATGAGCTCCTCCCTGGGGTCCAGTTTTGGGGGTTCGATAATCCTGCGACCCTTGCCCTTGGGTTTTACAACCAAAGAGGATGCAGGTTTGGCATCATGGGTTGAAATCCCCTTGCCTCCTGTCTTCACACTGCCATTTTGTGGCAACGACGGTGCAGGAGGAGGAGCTGGTGGTGCTGCTGGAGGCGTGACAGGCGTAGCAACCACCTGCTGCTTTTGAGGACCCGTCTGAAGGAGCTCAACTTTGGCAGGTATTGGTTCCCGTTCAGCCTTCTGTTGTTGCAATGCAAGGAGCTGCATGCTCTGTTGCATCTTAAGCATCATCTCCTGCTGGGCCTTGAGCTGAGCCTGGAGTTGGGCCTGAAGCTGGGTAGAGCTGTCCTCTGTGTTGAGGTTCTCGGTCGATGACAGAAGTGCCTGATTCTGAACAAGCTGCTGTTGCCACTGCGAAAATTGGTTCTGAAGATCCTGCTGTTTCTGGCCTTCTCCAATCTCTTCTTCATTCACTTCAGATCCGTTCATCTCCATATCCAGGCCAGAATCGTTCACACTCAATTTGTGTTGGCTGCGCACCTGGTCATTTGATTTTTCCTGGAATAAAGCACGAGGGGAATGGGATTTCTCTACCCGCACAGATTGGATGACCTCCTCCCCTTGTCCACCTGTCTGTTGTCGCTTTGCCGGAAGATTTATCATTGATATGGATTTCTCTTCCAGGACATGTTCTTGCTCGCCCTCAGAATTAGGAGAGAAGGATAGTTCTGTGCACCTGTCTTTCACACTGATCTCGCCTCGGTCCTCGACCCCCAGGCTGTCTAGATCTATAACAGGGTTACTGAAGCCCTCATTTTCCTCCGTGTACACACGTCGGACCACAACCTCCACCTCCTCCTCCTCTTCCTCCTCCTCCTTTTTGTCTAGTTTGATCACCTCCTTACTTGCCAATGCAGAGGGTTGCTTGGTCTTCTGTGGAGGAGGCTGGACCTCCCTCTTCCTAGCACCAGAGAAATTAACATTTTGTAAGTCATCAAGAGTGAACACAAGAGCCTCGGGCTGTTTTTCTTTTGGAGGCGTTGGAGGTCGTTTGATAACTTCCACTTTTGGAGGTTGAGGAGGTTCAGCCACTGGCTTAACCTCACTAGTTCTTGGAGATTCTGGACTTTTGAGGTCCTCTACATTGAACACTAGAACTTCCTTTTGTTTCACTTCCTCATCATCACGGGCATGTCCATCAGTTAAATCATGAGGACAGGTTGACCTCATATATTCAAAAGGCGAAAAAACTTCAATTGTTTCTGTAACCTCCTCTTCATCCTTATCATTGTAATCCACTACTCCCTCCATGACAGGTTCGCTGTCCTGGAATTCAGGCGGAGCACTATCAATCATGACATTGTACGTGATCTCGGACACCTCATAGTCCTCCGACTTGCTCCTCCTTTTTTCTTCTTTTGTCATATCATCTGCCTCCCCTAAAGCCTGGTTCTCCCTCTGAGTTGGATAACTTTCCTCTGCAAGAACCATTTCCCTGGTGATAACTTCTTCCTGTGGGATGGGAACTTCCTCTTGGTTCATTTTTTCCATATCTTTGACAAACCTGGACGCCTCCTCCTTGACTTTCTTCCCATCTGAAATAGAAAGCATATTGTGTTCTGAGAAATTAGTTCTCTTCTTGGAATCAAAGGCATTTTATCACAATATAGAAGAAAGGAGTGAAGACATGTAATGTACTTGGATACCATTCTTTGAGGTAGAATTTTAATCCCCATCAGTAGTAAAACATAGTACAAAAGGTGACCGAGAAATCACCTGGCTAAAAGAATGGAACCAGGCACTTGTAGTTACAAAGATAACCAAAGTCAAAACTGATGTCATAATCGATACTGTTTCCCCGTGATAGCTCAAGGGCCGTTTGGATAAGGCAAGCTCAAAAAGTAATGCAACAAGCTGCAAGTTCATACAAAAACCTATCGGGAGCTATATGTCCACTCTTTCCCCCCATCACCTGAGCTGGTATATAGACTGATTAACAAACTGAGAGGTAAATGTTGAATACAAGGTCCAACTCTCTGTCAAGTGATTAATTCTGTCTTATCTGTAAACTTATGAAAGAGATGTTTCAGTTTTCTCTGACTAACACCCTTGTCAGAAGGACTAACTCCCTCAGGAAGAGATGTTTTAGTTTTTTTCTGACTAACTACCTTGTCAGAAGGACAAACTTCCTGAATAAAGAGATGTATGATTTTTCACTGACTAACACCCTTGTCAGAAAGAGTTAATAATAAACTCCCTAAGTAAGAGATGTTTGAGTTTTCTCTGACTAATTCCCTTGTCAGAAGGACTAAATTCCTGATTAAGGGGTGTTTTAGTTTTCTCTGACTAACTCCCTTATCAGAAGGACAAACACCCTGATTAATATTGAATAATCAATATTTTCACCACAGGATCAACAATTCCTACAGTTATTTTTAGATAATGTTTCAAGAAGTTGTTCCTAGTACTGGGACGCAAACAAAGAGAAGTTGTCAGCCGATATTCTTACGGTTTTATCCCATTGTAAAATACTGCCAAGAAATGGTCTGGTAAAAAGTAATATATTGAATACTCCCTGCCAGTGAGACAACCTACAGTCATAAGCTACACCACTGACATAGAACATGCATGACAGTTTCATCCGCCAGAGATTTCACCACAGACATCAAGGCATCTACACACTCACCAAAGATATACAATTTTCTTCTGCGAAGGTTTTATTTATTATTTCACAAAAAATGAGATTTTTGTCCATAGGTTTATCAAGTAGCGTTCCTAAGGAACGAGTTATACCAGTGATTGCATGTACTCGATAATGCTGTGAGAAATACTGATGTTACTAGATGTTTTGAAGAAGATTAAAGCGCACATCAAGATATTTTGAAGGCGATTTCGGTGACACAAAAGTTTTTGGTGAATCAAGCAATTTTGGTGATTCAAGCCTTTTTGCATTGTAAAATACTTTGATTCACTTAACATCTTAGTGGAATTTGACATTTTTAGCAATTGTTATTTTGAGAAACACAGTTTGCTTTGGAATACGACATTTTCGCAAATGTTATTTTGAGGAATTGGTTACTATGAAATATGACATTTTCGCAATTGCTATTATGAGGAATTGGTTACTATGAAATGTGACATTTTTTGTGATTTTTATTCTAGGTAAACATTAGGTTTCCCGGCAGTACCTTGTTCGTCGTTATCAGTATCGTCCTTCATAGCCTGCTCTGCCACGGCGATGGTGAGCTCAAAAGCCATATTAATGTCCTCAATAGTATTAACAGAGCTTACGCTGTTACGACTCTCAGGTCGACTGTGGACTGTAGACAGACAAGGGGAGGTAAGCGTGGTCACAAGCATAGCTATGTCAACACAACAGGAGGTATTGGGAATGTACATGTATATATTTGTGTAATATCTACACCACAGGATCAAATAAAGTAGAACCGCTTTTGTGCACACATTGATCTTTGTAAAACAAGAAAAAAGACCAACACAATTCATTTGTATATGGTTAAAAAAAAATCTTAGCTCCTATACCAGCTTCTACTGAATGATAATTAAAAGTTCCATTTTTAAAAAAAAAAAAAAAAGATCAAAGAAAATTTTGAATATTCAAGATTAACTTGACTTACCATTAAATTCAAAATCAGTCTCTTTTTCAAAAAAGTAACTGTATGACTTCATAATTATATATTTGGGTTCTGACACTCTATCTGATTTCCTATACTGTAGATTTAATTGAACATGCAAGCCAATATGTATAATATATCACATATTGGGTGAATATATATATTTATTTCAATATATATCATGTTATCTGCAGGTTGCAGTGCTGAGATTTACATAAATTAATTTAGAATCAAGTTCATAATTCTGCCAAAACTATCAGAAGTATAGTTCTTCTCATCATGTGAAACTTTTTGGGAGAATTCTTTTTTTTTTGTAAATTCTCGATTACAAATGAATTCATTTCGAAAACTAATTTATGTGAATCTCAGTAGGAATAAAGGCACCTTAGATAATCCTTGTGGCCAGTAGTAACCTATCACCCTTGATCCAAAAAAGCAGTTGAGCCCACATCTATGTCATGCAGATGATAGGTTCCAGGATGCTAGGACATTTGGACACATATGTTCAAAGTATTGTTAGCTTAAATTAAAAATTTGGAACAAAATTAAGATCTTTTAAAAAGAAATCCATTTCTGTTGAAGATCTCAAACTAAGCAGATATCTGAAATTTACTTTTCTTTAAATGATTTATTTTGAAAATTTCACATTTAAGGATAACAGTTTCATTTTTTCTTCGTCTAATTTTCCGCATAAATATTTGCTTTAAAGAGTTATTAAGCTAACAAGGCTTTGCCACAAAACAGTAGAACTGTGTAACACCCTACAAATTCTTCAATGTAGCAATCTCCATGTATTATATTTCCACAAAATATATTTTTCCAAATTAAAATAACGGTATTTATGAAGTATTATTTTTTTCACATGGATAGGGTTTTCTCTAAAACTGGATGTTCACTATTTAGGTTCTTTTGTAGTAACTAAAATTATGAAATTAATGATCTAATGTTGATCAAGTAAATTTGGGCATTTAACTCATTCACCCCCGAAATTTCATAATAAACTTTTCCAACCTTTGAATTGAAAGTCTTCAGGGGTGATTGAGTTAACAAAGTTCTACTGCTTGTAAACACCTGGTAATTCATATATATATGTTCATGCAATTGGACATTTTAAATTACGCAACATAATACAATGTTTGTATACATCAGGTTCAAGTCCAGTCTAAACTGACTCCATGGCTAATGTGTCGTTTTCTTGTCAGTTTAAATAGACATCAGATTATATTTCATGCTCAATTTGCAAATTTTGAAGTCAGAAGGGAGGTAACTCTTACAGGCTTCAATTTGAAATTGACCATCCAATAGTACAGATATAAATCCACAACCAATAAATACTCTGTACCAACAGGGTAATACAATATTTAACATGCAGTTAATTCTGTTATGGCTGGAAAATTAATTACAGTGGAATCCAATTCATTCAGACATTTTTAGTTGATATATAAATTTCTAGAAAATCAAATTTAATGATCAATAAAGCAAAAATTATCACAAATATGGAAATTATTCTTCAGTATTTTGAGTACATAGAAATTATGGACACCACTGTACTTTCAGATCCAGCAAAAACAAGTAATATTTTTCAGCAAATCAATAAAAAAAGGAATTGTAAAATGTAATCTGTATATGGATTGTGTAATGATGCTGATCCCAATTTTGTTTTCAGACTGAAGGAATAACAAACTAAGGATTTCACATTTACCTTCTAACTCTACTGAATGACTTATAAAATATATATTTGTAAACATTTCAACATACAAAAGTCATGAAAGTAGATGTAATCTATTGCAATTAAAACTTCAAGAGGAAAGTTCAAATTAGTTCTGGGCATCACACAACAAATATTATGTTAGGAGTAAAAAAAAATGAAAAAAAAATGAAAAATCAATTAATGTGTTATGATGTCTATTTAGCTGTGTGTATTAATAGACTAGGTTAAATATTCGTATTAATACAGATGAGATATTGATGTTAATGCATTAGTAGCACTTAGGAATGTTAATGACTATTAATTATGTCAAAGCAGCTATGCTAATAATCATAAGTACTCTCCGTGTCATTATAAGGTGTTGTGGCCAAATCTTGACAAGTTTCTAAGATATCTTCAAACTTCAAAAAAAAGCTAATTTTGTTGAAAATTATATGGGTTTCTTGGCTATTTCTTCTCAAAACATCGGAAAAATTATCTCAATTTTATATCAGAAGAATTCCAAACTTTGCACACAAAAGAAATTTTCAATCTCATAAGAAAATTAAGGTCCTTTTATGAACTCGATTTGACATAGCAACGGATTGATTATCCAGAAAAATTCTGTTAAAACGTGGATAAGGCTATTTTCCTTACATAATACTGGAAATTTGTACTAGAAATAATACTGGAAATTTATTGTACAAGTTTCAGATATATAAATGTCTTTATTTGTACAAGCCCTTCTTTATACAGGATTAAATTAGGGGCAACAATCAATGATGCAGAGATTTACCAATGAATACCTTCATTGTGATTAAGTGACTGTCCCTCTCCAGGTCAACGAGTTAAACCACAGATGTCATTCAGTGCACTTGTCATTGTGTGTGTGTTAATAAGTGCAGGAGCTAGCACAGGTGAATTAGGAGCTTGCATTAGAGGGGCAACATACTGAGATGGAAGCCTTGCAATGGGGGAGGGAGGCATCATTTGGGGGGTTGGATGGGTGAGGTTAGTATAGGCAGCATTTNTGGGGGGCATTAGGGGGAGGGGGGGGGGAGTATAGGCAGCGTTCCGAGGTGGACATGGGAAACATGAATTTAGACCGAGTCAGCTGTACAATGGAAACTTTTTGTAAGAGGGTGTTCTCCAAGACAAATAGGAAATATACGAAATTTAAATAAATCCAGTAATCGGTGGTAAGACGCACATGCAGTGAAGTGTTGTTGGGGATTTTTTGGAGGAGGGATCCTGCTGTGTTTGAGAGGGACCAGTTTCTGGGGGAAATAGAAATTGGGGTACTGTGACAAATAATTTCAAATGTATCAGGGTTTGAAAATTAATAAACCCGATCCATCCCGTCAAAAATTTCAGTGAAAAGCATTAGGATTGAATTGTTATATCTTCATAAAGTCCAGAGTTTTAGTTCTCATACAGTTTTCAGAGTTTGTATCATTCGTGCTTTTGTCTTCAAACGTTTGAAATTTCTAAAATTTTCATCAAGCCTTGATACTTACATTTTTTAATTATGTTTTACTTTTCGATATGATTTTAGGATTTATGATAATATGTTAAGGTGAATAACACCCCATATGATTAAAATAACTGACAGATAGCTTCAATGAGTTCAAAATTACAAGTTGTGGTTTAAAGTAAGACACTGTTTTTTTACCAAGGAAAAATTAACATTTTATAAAACTTAAATATATGGAAACTGTATAGTTGGTTCTGAATGGTAGTACTGTGACAGACAAGTATCAAACTGTAATTAAACATGCTGAAGTAAACAGGAATACGTTCCAGTGACCCAACCCATAGAAGCCTCTATACGGTTCAGTGACTTCGCAACTATACCTACGACCTTCGATTCACAAAGGTCCAGCATCCCACCCCAAACATAGACAGCGTTGAAGGTTCCACACATCAAACAAGGCTAACAGGAGTGTTTAAAGTGGTGAAACACACTTATTAAGTTGTTAAAAAAGTCACACCTATTTAACACGAAAAATGTGGGAAATAAAAAACAGAGTGAAGATATAGTGAGAAACTTTGTGCTGTCAATCTTAACAAAAAGACTGCATATATATCAAAGACAAGGTCAGTATGCTCTCTACGCCCGGGCGACTATTACACGGTTCTCAAAATACCTCACAGGCACAAGTGTGTCGTAAGGTATTGTACACATATTTACTCATTCAAGCAAAGAAATGTTTGTTAATATAAAGTTGTGTTTTTTTTCTTCTAAGCTATAGTGAAATGCACTCTACTGAAACAAATGTTTTAGAGGTATATAAAACTGAGCTATGACTAAACTTGTATAGTTATATCTACAGGGATTCTTGAAAATTTATTCACAAATAATGAGATCTTACATGTGACAAATTTAAAAAAAAAAAAACAGGTCTGGTTTGAGAGGGATGCTAATGTAATATTCAGCTTAAAAAGATGAGAATCAATATGATTGTACTCTAACCAAACTGGGAAATCTGACAAGAGCAGCGTATCAAAAACACAAAATTCTGATGAAAAGACACCAGTGTAAAAATACTGCATAATGTAGTTTGTAGAACTATTATTTTCTGGCAACTAAAAGACAAAAACAAATAAAAAGTCACTATGTTGAACATTATATACATAGTTCGTCCCAAAATGTGACTAAGAATATTTTGCAGAACCCTGATTTTCAGAAGTTTTCGACTTTCCACAGGCTACTTACTGCTGACAGGAGAGCTTTCTGGGCCTTCGGAACCACTGTCGTCACTGGTTTCCACACCAACGTCGACCATGTCCACTCGGGAACCAATAAAAATATTATAATCTACAGTTTCCGAGTCTGCAGGTGGAGGTTCCATAGGAGGGGGAGGAGCTACAAATGAACATGGCCGCTGATTTTTGATTGGCTGCTCTAATTCAATATCCTCCGTTTTGATGGAGTCGTTTTCCACCATCATCATTCGTGGACTCTCAAGGCCTCGGTCGAACTCTGCCATCACCTCAGCTACTGCTAAAGCATCCTCGTCTTCTGTAAAAGAAAATGGATCAAAATAAATAAATCATATGACCAATTCCCAAAAAACAATTTACATTTACAATTTATCTACAATGGTTTATATCACAAACAGACCATTATAATACAGTTCTTGTAAACTGGAATCCAAAAATAAAAATAAATTTATAACTGATTATCTGTTCGACATCTTTCAAGAAGTGGGGATATATGAATCTGTTACCAGATAAAGAAAACCTAACTTAATCAAATCAGAACTTTTAAACAAGATTTTTTTTGTTTTAATTATCGCCCTTTTGAGAAGATATTTTTCCTGATATATCAACAATCCTTCGTATACATAGCCTCAAAGAGAAGCTATTTGTAAAACATTTTTTTTTAATTATGATTTGAAAAACTGCACACTTTGAAATTCTTATCGTAAAAATTGGATACCACGTAGATATTAGTTAATTAAAAAGCTTCCAAAATATTGCATTGCGAAACTTCTTTAAGGAGCAATCATAATGGTTGTAATCATCGCTCGGGCTATTGACCAGAATCGTCTCTTATATAGTCAAGACCACAAGAAAATGCAGTTTTAAGGTTGGGCTGATTGAATCCCCAATAACATTCATGTCTGGATATTATACTAATCCCCTTAATAATTCTAATCAGATCAATAGTGCTTATGTATTATAAGTAATGTATTATACATATTTTTTGTGAATATCATATTTCATAAACAATTAAGGCACTTCACCTAGTCAAAAAAGCATAAAAGTGCAGTTTCAACCTTTTCATCCCTATAAAACTTTAGTAGACTCTACTTTGCATTGATCTTGTAAAGTCCATTATGGTTTACAGTGGTGAAAGGGTTATTTAAGGTTAAGGGATCAATCCCTACCAATAGGTAAGTCTGTAGACAGGTAAGTCTTCCTAATAATGCTTCGGAGTAATACGCATCAAATATGTGCACGCATTATTTATCATGCTATGTCTCAATCTCTCATTTAAGCCGAGGAATGTTACAGAGTGACAAGACCAGGAAAGCTTACAGCAGCAAACCAGGCAACAAGTACTGCAAAACATCAATATGTATCACTCACATGTGACCGACAGGTGGTAGGTCTTACATTGTATTACCAGGTAGATCTGTCTCTGTCGACAGACACTTGCTTAAGTCTACTTTGCCGTATTTGACCAAATAAACACATCTGTCCCTTAAAATAAAAACCTTCAAATTATTTTTATTTCTAAGGTCTTCTTTGATTAAGTTTCATTTAAGGTTACACGTTACCATTACACCTGTTTTATATGCTAGAGTTGTCTCCCTTGATATAAAAAGAAATCGCCATGGTATTTGTTAGGTTAAATACGTTGTTACTTATCAATATCAATATTACACTAAAGTGAGTCTATTCAAAAGGTCACCTCTAATAAGCCATCACCTGTGTCAAGATTCAACTTTATGAACTTCCCAAAAATGGTTTCATAACACAAGTTGACAGCAGGTTGAAATATATATCTGGACTGAAATAAAAGAAAGCCCTATACAACATGCAACGAGATATCATCAAGATTTGGGACTTGAACAAGTCTAGATATTGATAACTGGCTCAGTGTACACTTTCAAGGTAACTGCATTGACATCAAAAGTTTGATATGAGCTTTTTAACACCTCTTTGACTGCCAGGAGCTGGTTGTTTGAAATGAATATCAATTTAGAGGTTATTACAGCTTATATTAAGTACCAATTATACCCTCATTAGTTGGTTTAATTGAATAAATATCATGATAAAGGATGATAAATGAAGGAACAAGACATTGCTTACCTGTGGTGAGTTCGTGGTCGTTGGTGCGAGGTGACCCTGAGGTCTTTTCTGTTGCTGGGGGACTGGAGGGGGGAGGGTCTGTGGCAGTTACTACTGTGATGGCCACGGTTGGCTGAGGTGGTACTGATTGGGAGTTTGCTACAGGTGAGGGGTGATCAGATGAGGATGGAGGGATGGCAGCTGTGTATAGCAAGCAAAGAAAAAAGTGCAGTCAAATCCTGCTGGCAAATTTACACAACCAAGCTACAGCGTAAATCGGTTACCTTATCTATCCTGCAATAAGCCCAGGGGCTTCTTTAAAGGGCTTATTGCAGGATAATGAAATAGCATTTGTTGGCATTTCTACCTAATTGCAATATATATGGATAGGCTTATTACCAGGCGTGGGCTTATTGCAGAATAAATACACAAATCTGGCTATTGTATACAATTTTCTTTTCCCTATAGCAGAAGCTTGTACATTATTTTAGTGGATATATTATTATAACATCATTTAATTATAATATAAAAATGTGTCTGTGCTATTTTGATTGCAGAAATGTATGTAGTTCACTCATTTATCCCTGAAATTTCATAATGAACTATTCCAACCTTTGAATTGGAAGAGTTCAAATGTGTCATCAGGGTTGAATAAGTTAATAGCAAAGTGATAAGTGTATGAAACATAAAGTAGTGCTTTTCTAATAACAAATACAAGTTACTTGTGATAGTGGAAACCTGATTAATCTTCAGTTATCAAAAACATAACGCATCCTGAAACCAGGGGTCTAATTGTCTTTATATCAATTAACAGATATTTTGAAGGGTCATTTATTTGAATAATCTTGCTAGCTACTGCCCCAGATTTCTAAAAATATCATGACTACATTATAGCTGCATTAGTTCTATATTAGAACCTGATGATTGATTATGCATGTTCATATAATTTTGCTAACATGTACTTTATGCCAGGTGACTTGAAAATATCTGTTCCGTAATTTATCGATTTGGAATGTTTCCAGATGACAAATATGAAATCTAAAATTTTATGATCTTCTAATGTGACAGTTCAAATCCTGAAAATCATGTTGAGTGAAGAAAAAACTAAAAACTAAATAAACTAACAGCGGAGAGTTTACTGAATGCCGGAGTATTTGAGCTAAATTGCCGTAAATGTTGTTTTTGTGAACCTACAACTATTTACAAAAAGACCCTGAAAGTTTCACCTCATAAAAATGTCAATTTAACTCCGAAACCAGGCTCCTATACTCGCACTTACATCCTCGTAAAACGTTCGGCCACTTAACAATGATAGCCTCTGGCCACTTGTTAAAGGTGAGATTTTTCAACTAAAGTACACACCGAAGTCTTTATTCTAAAAGCATTATCAACTTAATGATCAAAATTAACAATGACTTTTCTTTCAGTATATGTCTAGAAACAAAATTGAAGCTATTCATACCTAGCACAGGGCTGTGGCACAGATCCCAACCCTATGGACTATGTAAATGTGTATTCTGTATCATGTAAATACATTATATTGTAATACGAACATACACACACACCATAGTGTCGGCGGAAAAAGTGCCACACCCATGTGGATATAGGAATTTTCTTTAAGATCATTGGAAGATGTTTGAATATACATTGTTAAATTTAAATTTTAAGACATTCCTCAAATAAAAAATATTTGTAAAATATATGTATGCCCTGCTGGTTCTAACTTTGACGAAAACTCAAAGTCAGTAAAGCAAAAAATAAAGGCCACAGTGACCTACATTTGATATGTAATTATAGAACTTCTGAAGATTTATGCAAATATGAAGTTTGATGAACTCCCAAGGTTGAATTCATAAAGTATGACAAAGGTGAAAATCTATTAATATGTCTCCTCTCATAAAACTCCAGCAAATTGCTTCAAATTTTCAAGCATCTGATTATGCAGTATGGATATCGTCAACAAAAACGAAATTAAAAATTATCTTTTAATGAAGGATTTTGCCTATTAGTTTACACAGTTCTCACATTAGTTGGTACAACCAGGGAATAGATACTGACAATGTTTATAATTAATTTGGTAGATATGCAGAAGGCATTCATACCAGACATCAAGGCTAGCTTATCACTATACAGGTGAAAGGTATCACACATCTTTTATAAACACATCTGATACATATTTATATGTTTTCGAGGAAGATATCTACTTACATATCTGTTATATCAATATCAGGATTTTGATAAGTTTTAGCTGTATGTGGGCCTCAATAAGGGATACACGTTTATATGATGTTTGAGTTCCAGTAGCGGATACAAGTCGGCGAAGGATGTTTATGTAGTTAATATTTAGTTGTATTTTCGTAACTTTTGCAAATCATAGAAAATAGAAACCTAATAGCTACTGTATATGGTTGTTTATATGTCACACTAAACTAGATGCAACATCCAGAACAACAGCTAATACACTGCCCAAGTGCTTAAGAAACCTTCAGTCAACTCTTTGCTATCTAAAATGAATACACACAGGTCTAAAAGCAGTTTTTCCAATATCTAGCATGAAGATTTAAATTCCTTCACAAAAAGAAGTAAACAGCAAGAGAACCTCCAGATGTGTGACTCACAGTTAAGGATGTTTTGTATATTCCATCTATCTTGGGTCATTGTGTGCAAAAATTTAGTTCCATTAAGCCAAGTGTTAGAGTGCATATGGACATAGTGAAGTTGTATAAACACACAGGGAAATAACTCTTTCAAAGCAGGGGGGATAACTCTTGTATGCAAGAGAAATACCTCTGGCAATATTGTAATTTTTGCACTCTTACCTGTTGGAGGTGGTGGAGGGGCAGCTTTTCGTTTCTTCCCTTGAGATTTTTTCTTTTGTTCATCACGTTCAAGGGACCTAGCCCGAGGAGGCCCCTTCTTTTCTTCCTTGTGTAATGGCAGTGTCTGGCTGGCCCCAACCTCCATTGTTTGTGCTGGGTGTGGTTTTCGTCGAGGCGGAGATATATCCCGTATTCCACTATCCCCATTCATTTGTTCCCCACTATCTATTGACGTAGTGTCTATAATTATTTGTAAGTTTTCGTCTATACGTCCCGCGTCGGGCGACTCCGCCCCACTTAGTGTTAACTCGTGGTATCCACTTGAATCTGAACTGTTCCGCGAATGTAATTTTTGTGCTAATTGTTCTGTGCGATTTTTTTCAGACGTTGCCGACATTGAATTTGATGCCTCATTTTCATTGACACTAGGCAACCTATCTGACATCACAGCCTCTTTTTCAATGTTTTGTTTCTCAACACTGATTTCTACCTGTACAGTTTTTGCAGGGGGCTGATTTTGAGGTGGAGGTGGCGCTGGTGCCTTTCGTTTTTTCGTACGTGGTGGAGGAATTACTTTTTCCTTTACTGTCTGATTATTTGTCTTTGGCTTGGGTTCTGGTAAAACCTCAACCTGAGATACCATCAGTGACTTGGGCCGCGTGTCGATGTCAATGGCAGGGGAGGAGGTATACATGGTGCGTGGTCGAGCCACCTGCTGATCGGACTTTCTGCGTAGAGGAGGGCTACCACCAGATATCGGAGCTGGGGGTGGCCCCCGGTCTACTTCCATATGTGCCGCCTGCTAGAAACGAAAGAAAAGAATCAATCATCATGCATTCTTTACGGCCCAGTGACATGGCTGTAATGTAGGAGCAAAAAATGTGATCGACACAAAACCAATTATATTAAAATATTTTGTTATGTAAAACTAAAACAAAAGATCTGTTGAGAATAGTAAAAATACAATTTTAATAAGAAAATTCTATTGTTACAAATGTGGTAAAAATGAAATGGCTTAAGATTGAGATTCAAACCCTAAGAACTCTGGACTCAAGATAAACATTCTACAAATTCATTTAACTATAGGTCAAATCCAACTATATATATATAGTCCCAGTCAAGCTTTACAATACATGGAAGATATCCATTGAGTGCCAAGGTCCTGTGAGTCACACAAACCATACCATCTACAGAAACACTTACCAAGTTGAACTTTTTGTCTTTCTTTAAGAACGAGAAGAAACCCTTCTTTTTCTTGCCCTCCCCCGCCATGGGCATGTATGATGGAGATGGGTCTAATCTCACAGACTGACTTCGGCCCACCGATAGATCTGGCATTGATTTAGCACTGTCCATTGTCACTGCTAAACACAAAACAAAGACATAAGCTAAGTACACACACATGGGAGAAAACTCTGAAATATTTCTTCAGAAAATTTTCCTTGGTATCCATAATCCATTCTACATCATTTCAATGACGAATAAAGATTCATAATGTATTTTTTATTAAGGAAAAAACACAATGAAATGGATTTCTGTAAAATTTGACACCTGTACAAATCAGAATAGATTTATATGTGCATTGAACCTGTGCAATCAGAACACCTGTACAAACAGGACCATTGATTAGGTCAAAATAACAAATTTCTGAGTATTATAACTGTGCAATCTGAAACCTATCCAAACCAGACCATCAATTAGGTCCCAATGTATACATTTCTATGTGAATTGTATAATCTGGATAACTGTATAAACAGAAGCTTCAACTATGTCAAACTGTATACATTTCCATGTAAACTGAACCTGTATAATCTGTGATGTATAAAGTGAAGCTTCAACTAGGTAGGTCAAACTGTATACATTTCCATGCAAACTGAACCTGTATAATCTGGAAAACTGAACGAAAAATGTCTCCAGTCCAGAAAATTGAAAACAATCCTACTAGTTTATAGCTGAAGGGACCTGGGTGACTGCGAGAGTGACACATAGGAAGGATGTGGAGACAGAAATCTTGGGGCTAAATATAATGACCAGAGGTGTTGGGTCTGTTGTCAAGGACAAGACGACATTACAGTGACACAAAGATCTCTTGTTTGTCCAGTATGTTCAACACAGGCCGTTAAGTTTATCTACGGTAATGACGTCAGCGAAATAGACAGACAAATTAGGGATACCTATCTTAGGGTCGCTGGCGGATGTACTGGCACCCATAATAGCACATACCCTATTTACCCAGCAGGGGAGATAAAATAGCTTGCAGTTTCATCAAAAGATTGACAAGCGTAATATTCAACACTAAACATTGGAGTGAATCTGAGGACATGGATCAAATTTCTTATTGCATATATACAATATATAAAATATCAATTAAAATGAAGTACGAAGGTTAACAAATGCCAAAATTCATCTATTTATTATGCTAGGCCTTATATCATGTTTGAAATGTATGCTCATATTACTTCAAAATGAAAACTTAATATTTCAGACTGTATACATTATGATTTACACAATATCAATCTGTTCTGCAAAGTCATGAAGTCTTTATTGCAAGTTTGATTTTTTTTTTTTTAACTTCTATCAAAAATAGTAATATTGGCACATTTATTTTGAATACGTATATAGCAATTACCATTTTTATCCTGCAATAAACTCACAGGCCAATTACATAATTTCGGACTGAAAGAGCACACTGGAATATCTGTACTGTAACAGATGGGCTAGTTTATCCAGCATTGGCTTATTGCTGGATAGATTTAGGGGAATAAGGGAACAATGGAACTGTCATATCAAACTGCATGATAGTTTGATGATGGTGATGCATTAGAATATTTCAGGAATATTGTTTGTAATGTGAAATACAGACATTTGAATACCACAAATACATGTATGTTACAAGTAGGGAATACTAATTCTGTAAATTCACTTCTTGAATGACATTTTGTAATGTTCATGACTGTATGAATGTAAGATGGTTACATACATTTTTCATGTAGTAAGTAAGTAGGCTTTACTGAATTTTATATGTATGTTACTGTCTTGCATTNCCTGCCTCCTTATAGTATACAACAATACGGTTAAAAATTGGTATGAGGCTTTCACTTGGCATTTCATTCTGTTTCATTTCCTTATCAGAGTACAACACTTCCTGTCTATGTGCTGCAAATCTGTACCTAATACCTTAACACTAATTACCGCAAACAAACCTGATGCTAAGAAATGCTTTTGAAGTCGCAGACCACTGAAATTTTCCAATAAACTTGATGTTTAACACTAAAATTCATGTAATGAAAATAAAAATTCTTTTAGAGCAACATCAAATCGCTCGGAACATTTCAAGCTGGCTACACATGTTTTGTTTGTAGAAGGTAATATTACTAGGTAAAGAGACGACCATCAGTGTAAGTCTTTGGTCGACTCATCCGACTTCAGACATCAAACACAATACGCCTGTATAACAATCAACCTGCTTCACCCAGATCTATACACAACAAAGCAGCAGATTATTTTAACAAGCTCTCCGATCCACAAGTTCCTGGAGATTCACGCTAATTATTACCAGACCCAGAAGAAAACATCCCACTGTATACCCTACTGGAGGTTCCGTTTACACGTTTCAGGTGCGGCCGTTATGAAATACCTGGGGCTGTGATGCCTACATGTAGCTACATACAAGTTACATTGAGACCTTATTCGTTGATCTTTTAATTCTGAAAAAAGGTTCTGAAAAAAAAACTTTTTTTTTGGCACCATGCATATTCTAAATATTAATTGGTGTCTACAAAACAAAATTTCGCAGACGAGGTTTACATAACTCTTAAATGTTTTACATCAATACCTGTGAGGCTCAACACTTGTATATTATTTCGAACAGCAGTCATGTCAGGATTTGAAGCTTAATTGTGAATATATCCCCATATATCACATCAGCTGCTTCAAATAAATGTGCATACACCTATGGTTAAATTATATGCTACCACATTTTTCCTGAGATAAGCCCACGCTCAGTAATAAACCAGCCCACTTATTATGAGATACATCGGTAACAGATATCAGTGTAGTAATCTGGCAACATTATATAAAATCTTGTATATATGAAGGATCTAATTCAAGGATAAGTCCTATAGCTTTGGATATAGATTTAGCCTGTTTTTAAAGGATTAGGCCCTCAGGGATTTTCACAGGTAAAAGACATTACTTAATATTGTATCAATGTATAAAATCACTAGGTAACACGTTACACCAGAAACACTTTCTAGATTTCTAGGGGGCAAATTCTTTATTCATGGGGTTACATGTAAACAATCTATCATAGATTTAAGAAAAAAATTACCTTCCATTTACTCTTAGGTAACCTGTTTTAGATAAGTTATACGTGTGTATGCATGTATGTTAACACATTTGCCAAGAATTTTGAAATTTAATTCAGAAAGAATGACATAATTTATTCACATTTTCTGATCACTATATACCTGCAGTCATCTGTAATCTGTTATATTGGTTTATAATGCACCTTCCGTAATGTTAAAAATATACAAAAGTTGGTTTAAAATTTATATCGCCCCAATAATGTAACAAGCTCAAGGCTGCTTCAGAATCATCATGTCTATAATATTATATATATCAGAAAAACATGAAAAGTCCTTATGATGGTTAAATATAAAAAACAAATACAAAGAGTTTCTTAGTACCTCCCTAGCGCTTTCACCTCTTTAGAGGTTCATCAGGGGAACTGATAATCAGTGAAAGTAACCTAGGTACATTTATAGGTATAAGAAACTCTTTGTATTCGTTTTTATATTATATATATATACCTCAAGTTTTTTTGTTTTTTTAAACAGACACAACAGACAAAGCGATAAACAGAAAATATTTAGCACAATCTATGAATAAAAAATACCAGATTGTTTTTTTTGCAAATCTCTTTCTCATTAGAGACAGTTATACCAAACCTATCAAATTTTACACGCACTTAACATGTTAAGAAATTTTCAAAACGATAATATTTAGGCTGAATTGATACACACAAAACAATAAAATGTTGTGTTAATCTGGTACTTTAACACTATATGGGGGCATTGGAGTGAAAATTGCCAACTCCAGCCCAGCACTGGATGCTATTTAATCAGCGAGGCTGTACGTATACGTATACCAGTAGGCTGAAACTACTACACAGGTTTAGACTAAAAGTGAGTTTAATTCTGTAACAAATGCAAAGGCAATTATGTTAGAAGAATAAATTTGCATATACAATTGGATATTCTCCCAAAAATATCTTAATTTGCATTTTCCCCTGTAAAAGTTAATTAATGCAGCAATTTAACAGATGAATTGACTTTCCAGGGCTGCATTACTGTTCTTTAAAAGCTTTGTGTATTGTTTCAAATATTTTTGAAAAATCCCCAATCCTGAACCCGGTAGCTACCCTGCCACCCCGGGGTCATGGAGGCCTTTAGTCTCTGGATCTACCACTGTAACTGGGATTGACAAGAAATGACCATTATATCTTACCATCTAACATGCCACTGCATGGACACTAAAGTATATAGGGGGTAGTGGACAGAGACATGCCCATTGACAGGTATATCCCCTCACAAACACCTGTTAATTAAGATATCAACAAGGTAAACAATCTGACAAAGTAATTCATGTAGATAAACACTTCATGATGGACATATTCTGTTCTAATTTGGCCGCCCTCGGGACGAAAATCTTGACCACCATCTTGATAAGGTACACTGTATATAGTATCACTTCCTAAGGTACAAATTGGCGACAACAGGTAGGTGTCAAGAGCTGAAGGCATTTTATTATCTACATCATAGACCCATCACCATGTCTGTGTCATAAAATAGAGGAAGTGTTCCTACTAGTATAATGACACCTAGTCCAATACGTGGATAAGTCCTGGCCCTGAATCACAAAAGGTTGAGAATGCTCTCAATTCTCATAATCAAGAATTATTTTAAAGGTAAATATCCCTTGAAATATTAATTGATATAGCAAAATGATTTTGAGTTGATGTTTTATCTAGTTGACTTAAAACAGTAGATGAATTGCAGAAAATATTATTCATATACAGTGTATAATTAAGGGATTTTATGCTGCAAGTGACCTCCTCTTCTGTCTCAAAAGAATTATGGATTTTCAACTTTTTGGCCCCTTATATGCTTCACCAACGAGTCCTAGAAGCTTATAGGATGAATGAACTGTAATAATTAATTAAGGGAGTCATAAAAGCTTCCTGATGAATGAGAATGAGCTGCGTGGTGCAGGGTAATGGTTTTTGGCATACTGTATTTATTATAACATTGTATATGTTTATCTTACCTAAAACATCCATCCTACACATACTTACCAACATTTTTGAAATTTCAATTGTGAAGATTCTGCATTCTCATAATTAAAACATAAATAAGATGGGTGTATAATACACTCCCTAGAGACAAAATAACCCTTTAAAATGACATATTTTGAGTTGTTCTGTCAGATGAAATTAATAGATCTAAGAATATAGGAATAATTAGGCAAAGTCACTGGTTGAAAACACCAAGTTTAAGGGTAAAAAATCGGGAGTCTCCCTCCTAAATAGAGAGAGTTGGGAAGCATGCCTACATATTTTAACTGGACTGGCCCAGTCTTTGATTTGGTAAGGTTTAAGTGTGACTTAAGGGGTGAATGGGTGTTTGACAACAGATCTCTGCCAGCTGAAATCTATGCTAATATTCCTTTCGTACAAGGTAATGGAGAGGTCATATACTCATATATAACAGAGCATAAGTCATTTAGCAAGATAAACTGGACAAGAGGAAAGTCAAAGCTGTCCTCCAATGGACACAACACATTGGTCAAAGCATGCATACTTATTATAGACCCATAAATAATGGCCACAGCTCATGATCACAGACATTGGTCAAATCATCCTCTAAGTAATTTGGTTGACCACTGGACACAGGGCGCTGGTCAAAGGTGTCTGTGTATAAATAAATTATCATACAAAAGACAAAAGATCTTTAGAAATGTGTTGGATAGAATTACATATTACTATCAATTACTTCACTCGGGGATAACTGTTGTATAAATTCTCCTGAAGACTCATTCATAAATTTTAAATCTTTTACATACAAATTCATTAATTCAGAGACGTAATACATCTCTGATTAATTCAAAGGAAAATTACCTTCATTATTCAAAATGCGTCCTATTAATCATAAATTCAAGTATTCAAAAAACTGATCGAGTCAATGGTTTCCTTGCCAATTTATGATTTTAACATAACGTTTCAATCTTATATATGTCACATTTAACACAGTAGACTCAAATGATAGTGCATTTTAATGATGGGCACTTTTGTTTTGAAGATATGAAGGAAACAGCGTTACAGACTCAGTACTGTATAACAGTACAGTCTGGTTCATTGTTTAAGTGAATTTTCGTTGTGTTATTAAGGCCAAACCGCAAATTGTGATTCAACGAAGTGTCAATATTTGTTTTTTCACATACGATAACCAAGATATTTTTAAAATACCTGTGGACATGGTATATACATATTTTTTTATCTATTAAAGATTTGTCATGGAAATAAATGCCTGTTAGCACTATAGCTTTACAATATGGTACATAACAACCCTTTGATTAACAGAAGTTGGTGTTTGTAAGGTAAAGTATAGACTAACATTTACTCCAGTATTGTGACCAATAGCTCTAGGTTCTGGAGGAAGATTTTTAATCTTTCCATGAACACATACCCTACCCTGTGTATACATATGTAAGTATTATTGAGTGTGTATGTATAGGTAACCCTTGACCTAGATCTATCTGTGGCAGTGAAAACATCAGATGTCTAATACTGGTTTATCCTACATGTACCTGGCACATAGATATATATATATATGTAGACATCTTCATAAATTTGGATTGCAATCAAAAGCTACGCCACACAAAATATAGTTATTTAAAACTGTCCAAAATATTTTGAAATATGAATATAATGAATACCATATATCTTCATGGTACTTAAAACTTTTGATCCAAGACAGCATGTGGTTCCTTAAGGTTGTCTAAAACTAAACAAAAATCTTGTGTTCACTTACCTGTATCACACCTATCTCGTTAGTGCACCCCAAATTCTGTACTATTGTTCAATATCCTTAATGAAAACCTAATCCAAAGTAGTAACAGTCCGTTTGATGGAATAGGGTCCCAAACTGACCAAAAAGGGGGGTGTCCCTCGAGACCAGTAACTGGCCACACCTATCGACAACAGGTAAAAACTGACAGTCGGAGATAAGGTATGTGTACAGGTATCATACTCAAGTAATTTGACACCAGTCAGGCATGACCAATCACTCAGGTGTGATACAGGTATGAATATGCTTGTTCATGATCACCTGCATGAGGTCAGTGTCGCCACCCTCTGGGCACCCCTGGACCAATCTTACTTGTCCAGCAGCACACCATTACACAGGTATATCTTACACAGGTAAGCACTTACCTGTGTGGTGGACAAGACCTTACCAGGTTACGTAACAACAACAGGTAAACATGAAGGAACATACCTGTCGCCTCACAGTCAGGGGAAGGCAATCAATTGATATCTTTCCGCTATACACCTGTACTGGCAGACCTGCACTGATTAATACAGGTTGTATAAGGAGCCAGTCACAGGTTTGTTGTGTCTAAGCTAGTCAACTGTCAATCCTAGATTAGGGAGCATGGAGTGTAGGGAAATCCAGTGACTTCTTTCATGCCATGAATAGCTCTGTTCTGAGTCAAAACACTCATAGTTCCAAGCAGATGTACCAAAAACATTGAAATTAAATGTGTGACGTCAGATGTTTCAATGTAATGTATGAAATGCAACATCTGCATAAAAATGTATATGCATNTTTTTTTTTTTTTTTTTTTTTTTTTTTTGGGGGGGGGGGGGGGGTGCTTAGGGCTGGGGATGGAGAGAAACAGACTGGGGGACTCCTATGCATAACACTGGGACAAATATTTCAATTCTGAACAGAAAGGTATTCATACTACACATGTATATATAAACAAAGAAATGTATACATGATGGTCTGGTTTATACAGGTTTCCAGATTACACAGAGTTCAATTTAGACAGGTTTTACTTGGAAAACAGAAACAAATTTGCAAACATGCAATATTCAATGATGTACATCACATCCAGCTAGATCAAATACCTAGGCTAATATTCAGGATCTTTTGTTATCTTTTCCTTCTCAAAGAAACAATGTTTTTATTTCTTTTTTTATATAAATACTACATTGTGTGTATAATTAATCACTCTGTGTGCAGTGAAAATGTCATATACACCGCAGGTTTCATATTTGCCTGGAAGACTACAGCATACCTTTGACAATGATTAACTAGATGCAATAATGCTGTTAATTCTATGTATACCAGTGGACAGTGTTACAGTACATATTCTGTCTTTTGTTTTCTTTGTATCACAATAGGATGCATCAATCTTACTTTAACCTTTGACCTGGAATTTTGGCCACTTTAGGTACTTACTCCTGGCGATGAGGTTGATTTCATTGTTACCCAGCTCCCCGACAGTTCTCGACATATCAACCATACCCTGTGGGTCCCCAGGGAGCTTGAAAATAAAATGTGCAGGGTCCAGACGTTTCTCTCCACAGATTTGACGGTGGACTGTCTCTAGGGGCGTCGTCTGGCTGATGCGTAGTACCTTTTTCTGGCTCTGGGGCAGGTTCACCGTAAAACGGTACGTCATCTGCAGAGACAGAAGGGAGACATAAATATGAAGACAATCTTAATTGATAAAACCCACACGTCTGTTTTAATGATAAATGTTGGCGTGTGAAATATGAAGAAAATAGAAATGGCTGTTGAACTTCCTAGCCAAACAATTTGGTTGTTTTTTACAAATCTTTTGTCAAAAAACAGATGAGCTCCTTCTTATGAATTTAAATGGTGCAGACTGAATTTAAATGAGGTTTCTAACCTGTAAAATATTGGTATATAATTTAGAACTTCTCAGGATCTAATTCAACAAGTTTATAATGGCGGACTACATGCAGGCCTATAATCATTATCAATATATGCCATGGGCCCTGGACAAAGCCTCTGAGTGTGTTTAAGCCTCTGAGTGTGATTTGTTATGAAACATATGTGAATTCATTATCTAGTGAATTGTAAAAACAGGCATGAATTCATTAGCTAAGACTGTATAAAGTAAAACTTCATTATATCAGATTGCTGGATGCATTAAAATGAAGTTGGCATCACTTCAAAATTGTAATGAAATATAAACAGATTCTTGTACCCGGCGACATATAGCATTAGAAATCTAGGATGACCATATCGGTTTTGCTCTTGGCAGACAATAAAGAGAAAATTCAATTTTTCATTGTTGCGATGTTGAAGATAATCCTAAATAGATGACATTTTGGTGACCATATAGTTTATATATCATGTATACATTACCAGGGAAAATGGCCCACAATTAATGACTTAAAATTGTCAGTGGGCTTGAAAACAATACAAAAACAAAACTCCTGGGATAAGCCCACAAATAGTTAAGCCCATCCACTTGAAAAACAGAATTTATTGATGAAGGCAAGATCTGAACATCGGACTCAAGCATCACAAAGCTGTCTTAAATCTTTGGTAAAAAAGACAATTCCGTTAAAAAAATCAGTCTAGATTAATTTAATTTACAAGTGTAAGTAAATATGTAAAATCACATTTTGATATGGAATTAAAAGTTTAAAGAGCATATTTGTACTAAAATGATCTACTTTCTTTCACGATATAGAAGCTAGCTGATTCGATCATGAGTAATGTCTAGTACATGTAGTTCATTTACTCTATCCCTTCCCTCCCCAAAGACAAAGGCAGATTGAATTTTGATATTCTATTATCCAATTGTTGAATATTTAAGCTTTCATTTGGTCAGAAAATTCACTGTGTTGAATTTTACATAAATATTTCAATGCTTGCTAGAGGACCTTTTAAAGCTGACAATTTGATGCCGAGCACTTAATTCATTACATGTTGAAAGATTTGAATAGAAAAATTATTTGAGCCTTTTAAGACTGTGGCTAAAATCGGATTTCCGAAGATATAAAATGCACTTAGTCTATCTCACCTGCAGACTCCCCAACCAATAGGATTACAGGATTTTTACCAGATTTTACCAGAGGGAAACATCCGGAACCATGAAGAAACTGTAAAATTTAACATTGTGTTGGTGTGAAAAGGTTTTATTTATTTCAAGTTTATCAAGTTAGTGCTAGCTGGCACGTTGTGTTGAGGCCATTGCTGGAACACAACTGGTTTGTGATCTTTGATATATAGGTGTGAGTTTGACTCGTGGTGTTTCTATTTCTACAAGGTCAACAATCGGATAAAAATTGGCAAAAAAATCGCTTATCTAAATTCCTTTTTTTTGTTTATAAAACTTATAAAATGTGAGATGAAAGGTAGATAAATATGAAATTACTGTAGATAAAATAGATTTCTATAGACAAATAGCCAAAATGTATCTATAACAATACACATGAAACAAATAATATCGGAATAGTTTACATATGACAACGATCATATCTTTATAGCGCCAGCAGTACAATCATGCAGTTATTCAAAACCATAACAGCAGACTTAACATATTAACCCTTTCGCCACTGTAGACCATAATGGACTTATCCATATCAATGCATGGTAGAGTTTATTAAGTTAAATAGGGGTGAAAAGGTTAACTGCATTGTAAAGTAACCATTTTTCCAGAAGATAACTGTTAGGGATTAAGTAGTTATTATAACGAGGGAAATTTGGATGGAAAATTTAATAGTTACATTAGGTCATTCTCAACTTAAGAAAGATGCCTTAAAAACAAAACTTTAAGCACTTTAACTCTTTCACCCCAGAAGACACATTTGAACTCTTCCAATTGAAAGATTGGAATAGTTCATTACGGAATTTCAGGGGTGAATGAATTTATGATAAAGACTGAAAATTGGATGGTGAAACCAGTAACCTTGGGTCATTATTAACTCAAAGAAAATGCAAAAAAGCAAACTTTGGTAACACTCACAGGGTCAGCTGCCCCGTTAATATGTGACAGGCTGTCATTCAGTGAAAGCGTGGGTTTAAACCCAGGACCATTTTATGTGTGAACCTTTTGTGCTTGAGTGCATCACTACCGACATGGATAAGGACAAACTATCATTATCAGCAGCTAACATAACACATATGTAGACACTTACTGCAGACTGGAGCTGATAATGGAGGATATAGAATAAGATATAAACTATTAAGATAACACCCTCCCACACACAATCATGTATAGACCCCCTCTCTCCACAATGTCCCTGACATTCATCTTATCCCATGCGCTTTCTATCTCTACAGCAATAACTTGTTTCCCTCTCTCCCTCTCTACAGCAATAACCCTCGTCTCCCTCACTCCCTCTCTACAGCAATAACTCCTGTTTCCCTCATTCCCTCGCTACAGCAATAACCCTCGTCTCCCTCACTCCCTCTCTACAGTAATAACTCCTGTTTCCCTCACTCCCTCTCTACAGCAATAACTCCTGTTTCCCTCACTCCCTCTTCACAGCAATAACTCCTGTTTCCCTCACCCCTTTTTACAGCAATAACTCCTGTTTCCCTCACTCCCTTTTTACAGCAATAACTCCTGTTTCCCTCACTCTCTTTTTACAGCAATAACTCCTGTTTACCTCACTCCCTCTCTACAGCAATAACTCCTGTTTCCCTCACTCCCTCTCTACAGTAATAACTCCTGTTTTCCTCACTCCCTCTCACAGCAATAACTCCTGTTTCCTTCACTCCCTCTCTACAGTAATAACTCCTGTTTCCCTCACTCCCTCTTCACAGCAATAACTCCTGTTTCCCTCACTCCCTCTTTAAAGTAATTACTCCTGTTTCCGTCACTCCCTCTTTAAAGAAATAACTCCTGTTTCCCTCACTCCCTCTTTAAAGTAATAACTCCTGTTTCCCTCACTCCCTCTTTAAAGTAATAACTCCTGTTTCCCTCACTCCCTCTTTAAAGTTATAACTCCTGTTTCCCTCATTCCCTCTTTAAAGTTATAACTCCTGTTTCCCTCACTCCCTCTCCATGATATTTTTTCTAGTCTCCATTACTCCTCTAATGACTGATCACAGCTTCCTCTCACTTTTTCTATCTTAAAAACCATTCCAAAATATTAAGTGGATTTTTCATATCTTAAAATACCATTTTCTAAGTCCAATCTGTACAAGTTTGATATTTACTGTAGTAAATTAGATGTGATATGAAAAATAAATCTTAACTTCTGTGCCCAAACACCCCCTGAGTTCAGTGTTTTTCACATACCCTATGGCTTAACATTAGGGAAACTTGCCAAAATCTTACTGTAAAATATCATAAATTTATCAATTCTAGCTAAAGAGTCCATATCCTTGCTTTGTATTTTGTGCATGGAAAGAAAAAGATGAAATAAGAATGAATTTTGTTTCAAACAAGAATCTTTGAAAAGCTTGAAGAATTGTCCATTCATTAAAACATCAGTAGATTTACAAGGGTTTTGTCAACATTCAGTCCAATCAATCGAAAAACCTTTACATCAGCACAATGCTGTACAACACAGTGCTGACGTATACACGAAAGACACTCCAGTATTTTAAAATGCCTCACAAAGGAACTTAACAGAAGAAAAGTAGACACTAGACCAGCTTAAGTTTTATGAATGGCCAAATTTAAAGTATGTTAAATGTTGATAGGGCCTGTAGATCTAAATTTCTCAGGTAGTTCAGCCCCAGTAAATAATATAAGGCAGGACCAAGACTGTGCTATATAAGACGTACGTATATATAAAATATGGTATAATAAGTTATTGAATTGGTTGTAAAAATATGTCTAGAGCACTATTGTATACTGATGTCACACATACACACAGGCTTAAAGATCTGGGGACTCACAGGGGATTTAAACCCTCGGAGTATCATGTAACTGAAAATTGTTCACGATTCTAGTGAAAGGTACTCACAACAGTTTTAGATATTTCTTGGTTAATCTTTTCAATTCAATCTGTATATGAAGGTTCTTGTAAAGTTTAAGGGAAAAGATTTCAAAATATCTGGGGCAATTTAAGACACATGCATTTCTGGGTCAGTACAATTTCTTAAAATTTAAAAGGGGAACTGTTTTCAAAAATAATGACAACTACTAATGCATATCTATGTGGTTGAAGGAATGGTTTTGAATTTTTTTTTTTTTAAATACCCAAGACGTTTTAGACACAACAATTAATATCAACAATCAATCAAACCTTATAGACAATTCAGACACTTTCCTATGTCAGTTTAAACTCTTTTAATTCACTCTGTTTAAGAATTTCTTTTTCAAAGGGGAGATTTTTCAAAATTAAAGTGTGAACTGTTTTAGGCGTTTATCTGTTAATTTATAATCTACTTTACAAAGGGATTTTTTTTTTTTTTTTAAATACCAGGAACATTTTAATACATTTCTCAGTCAATATATGCACTCAATTCAACCTGGTTCAAAACGAAGAATTTAAAGAAAGTGAAAATTAATTCATTGACAGTTGTGATGTAGAATTAGTGTCTGTCTCCTTATTTATCTCACTTGCTGACCTAGATTTGGAGCAGGTGGCTCATGTGAAACTTCAACCGAGAAATTTTCCGAAGATTGAGTTATTTTTAATCTGCTGACTTTAAACATGTAGAAGATTACGAACTAATACCTGTGAC